TACTTCTTCCTCACCAATTTGGGTGTCTTTTATTCATTTTTCTTGTCTGATTGCTGTGGCTAGGACTTCCAGTACTATGTTGAATAACAGTGGTGAGACTGCACATCCCTGTCTTGTTCCTGACTTTAGGGGAAAAGCTCTCAGTTTTTCTCCATTGAGGATGATGTTTGCTGTGGGTTTTTCAAAGATGGCCTTTATTATGTTGAGGTATGTTCCCTCTAAACCTACTTTTTTGAGGGTTTTTTTTATCATGACTGGATGTTGTACTTTGTCAAATTCTTTTTCTACATCTACTGAAAGGATCATATGATTTTTATCTTTTCTCTTGATGTGATGTAGCACATCGATTGATTTGTGAATATTGAACCACCCTTGCATCCCACAAATAAATCCCACTTGATCATGATAAGTTAATTTTTTGATGTATTGTTGGATTCAGTTTGCTAGTACTTTGTTGAGAATTTTTGCATCCATGTTCATCAGGGATATTGGCCTGCAGTTCTCTTTTTTAGTGGTATCTTTATCTGATTTTGGTATCAGGGTAATGCTGGCCTCACAGAATGGATTTGGAAGCTTTCCTTCCTCTTCTATTTTTGGGAATAGTTTGAGAAAAATAGGTATGAACTCTTCTTAAAATGCCTGGTACAATTCACCTCTGAGACCATCTGGTCCTGGATTTTTGTTTGTTGGGAGATTTTTTATTACTGATTTAATGTCTTTGCTGGTTATCAGTCTGTTCAGATTTTCTATTTCTTCCTGTGGTGATGGGGTCTAACATCCCACTTGAGGTGGTAAAATATTAATTCTAAGTAGATTGAATAGTGGAGTGAGAAGTTAATATCTATATTGTAATTGCTAGAGTAACCACTAAAGAAGCTCTGCAAAGACATAGAGTAAAACAAAAAAAAATAGGTAAATCAAAACAAAATACTAAAAAATATTCTAGTAATGCAAAAGAAGGCAAGAAAGGGAAGAAAAGGAGAAAAACAAAGGATATAAATAGAGAACATACAATGGAACGCATAAGTGGTAGATCTAAATTCAAATGTATCAATAATTAAGATAGGTGTAAATCATCTAAGCATACCAATTAAAACAGAAATTGTTAGACTGGATAAAAGCAACACAGCCTACCTACATGCATGTACAACAAATATAAAAATATAGGTAGATGAAAAATAAAAGAATAAAAAAAGATATGCCAAGCAAGCAGCCATTTAAAAAACTGAAGTTACAAAGTGGACTTTAGAGTAATAAGGAGAAACATCACCTAGTGATAATGCGGTCAGTTCACCAAGACACAGTGGCCCTAAACTGGTATGCCCTACTAACAGAGCAGTAAAATACAGGAAACAGGCTGATAGGCTGGGAAGGGGAAGCAGGCAAGACCCTGCCCCAACTTGTCCACTCAGGAAGCTGCACCGGAGACCACAGGCCAGGAGGCTTGCACGATGTTTTCTCTCTCACGGTCCTGGAGGCTGGAAGTCTGAGGTCAAGGTAAGAGTGCCGTCCTTGGCTTGCAGTCAGCCTCCTTCTCACTGTGTCCTCTCAGGGGCCCTTCCTCTGGGCTTGCGTGGAGATATAGGGATGCAGAGAGGTATCTGATGTCTGTTCCTTCAGTTATAAACACATCAGTCCCTCAGGTTAGGACCCTACCTCCTGACCTATTTTAACCTTAATTACCTCCTCGGAGGCCCATCTCTTAATACAGCCACACTGGAGGCTCGGATTTCAACATATAAATTCGGGGGGGCGGTAGGGAGACACAATTCAGGACTAACAAGACCTTTCTCAGTAACTGATAAGAAAGTTGACAGAAAACAAGTAAGGCCGTGGAAGGACTGACAATACCAGGAGCAAAGAGGGCCCAGCTGACATTTGTAGAACGCTATACTGAACCACATCAAAGTGCACGTCCTTCTTGAGCGCTAATGGGCACTCACTGAGGCAGACCAGACCTTGGGTCATAAAACACACCTTAACAAATTTAAAACAAAAACAAAAAACTCACAATGGAATTAAACTAGAAAACAATAACAAAAATATTCCCAAATATGTGGAAACTAAGCAGGACACATCTAGATAACCCACACATCCTGGATGATATCTTGGAAAAATTAGAAACTATTTAAACTGAATGAAAATAGAAATACAACATATCAAAACTTAGTAGTGTTCAGAGGAAAACATATTATGTTGGCATTTAATTAGAAAGAAGAAATAAATGCTTATATTTGAAACAGAGGAAAGTTAGAGATCAACAATCTAAGCTTCCACCTTAAGAAATTAGAAAAAGAAGAGCAATGTAAACTGAGAGCAAGCAGAAGGAAAGAAATAATAAACATAAGAGAAATCCATGGAATTAAAACCAGAAAGACCATAAAGAAAAAAATCCGTGAAACTAAAAACTGTTTTTGAAAAGACCAATAAAATTGATAGACCTTTAACCAGACTGATGAGAGAGAGAGAAGGTTAAGTGACCAATTCTGGTAATGGAGGAAGGAGACATCATGACTGTCCCCACAGACACTAAAAAGACAGTAGGAGATGTTACAGACCGCTCTGTGTGCATGCACTCGACAACTTAGATGAAACAGACCAATTATTTGAAAGCCACAAGCTACCAAAATTCATCCAAGAAGAAACAGAGAACCTGAACAATCCTTGTTGTCTTAAAGTAATTGGCTTCATGGTGAAAATCCTGAGAATGAGAATTCCAGATAAGACAGTTTCCTTGGTGAATTTTGTGAATATTTAAAGAAGAAATACTACCAATGCTACACAATCTTTTTCAGAAAATAGAGGAGGAGAAATGCTTCCCAACTGACATCATGATGCAGCTTTACCCTGACAGCAAAACCAGGCACCTAACAACATAAAAAATAAAACAACATACAAATATCCCTCACAAACCCAGATGCAAAAACACTCAACAATATACTAGCAAATCAAGTAAACAACGCATACAAGCAATAATGCATCGTGATGAAGTGGGGTGCAAAGCTGGTTAAACATTTGAAATTCAGTCAACTCAATCCACCATATTAATATATGAAAGAGGAAAAACTCCATGATCATTTCAAATAATACCAAAAAAGTGACAAAATTCAAGATTCATTCCTGACAAGAACTCTCAGCAAACCAGAAGAAGGGAACTTCCTTAGTTTGATAAAGGACATCTATTCAAAGACCTATATAGCTAGGTCTTTAATCATCATACTTAATGGCAAAGAACTGAACATTTCCTCCCTAAGATCTGGAATAAGAAGAGGACTCTGCTTTTCCCACTCCTTTCTTTTTTTTTTTTTTTAAGAGTTTATTTATTTGAGAGAAAGAGAGAGAGAGCACATGAGAGGGGGAAGGGTCAGAGGGAGAAGCAGACTCCCCGCTGAGCAGGGAGCCCAACGTGGGACTCGATCCTGGGACTCCAGGATCATGACCTGAGCCGAAGGCTGTTGCTTAACCAACTGAGCCACCCAGGCGCCCTTCCCACTCCTTTCTAACATCATGCTGGAAGTCCTAGCTAGTGTGCAAAAGCAAGATAAGACATAAAGGCATACAGATGGGGAAGGAAGGAATAAGACCATCTCTATTTGCAAATGTTACAACTGTTTGGGTAGAAAACCCAAGGAATTTACAAAACAAAACAAGACACCCAGAGCTAGTAAACAAATTCAGCAAGGTCACAGAATACAAGATCAACACTCGGAAATCACACTTTTGTACACTAACAGTGGGCATGTGGAGACCAAGATTTACAACTCAGTGCCATCCACAACCGCTCCACAGAAAATGAAATACATATACACTTAACAAAACATGAACAGGATCTTTATGCTGAAAATACAATATGCTGATGAAAGCAATCAACAAAGACTTAAACAAATGAAGAGCTATAACATGCTCATTGATTGGAAAACTTAACACAGTAAAAAGGTCAGTTATCCCCCAAATTGATCTATAGGTATAATGCAATTCCAATAAAAATCACAGAAAGGGTTAATAGATAAAAAGGAGCATGTCCTAAAACTTATATGGAAAGACAAAAGACTAGATCTAAATCATTTTGAAAAAGAAGAGCAAGTTTGGAAGACTCACATTATCTGATTTTAAGACTTACTGTGAAGGTAATAAAGACAGTGTGGTATTGACAAAAAGACAGACACATAAATCACTGGGAAGAAATAGAGGTTCAAGAAACAGACCCACACAAATATGGCCCATTGTTTTTTACAGTGGATGCAAAGGGAATTCAGTGGAGGAGGGATCGTCTTTTCAACAAATGGTGTTGAAACAACTGGACATCCACATGTAAGAAGATAAACATTGATACACACATTTGCACTGATCAAGAAAAATTAACTCAAAATGGATCACGAATCTAAATGCAAAATATAAAACTATAAAAGTTTTAGGAGAAAACATTTTTTACTTTGGGTTAGAAATTGAATTCTTAGACATGACACCAAAAGCACACATCATCAAAGAGAAAATGGATAAATTGGACTTCATGAGAATCAAACCTTTTGCTTTGCAAAATACACTATTAAGAGGGTGAAAAGACAAGATACAGGCTAAAGGGAAATATCTGTGAGCCAGCATCTGACAAAGGATTTGTATCTGGAATATATAAAGAACTCCCAAACACCTAATAAACAAAAGCAAAAGATTTGAACAGATACCTCACTAGAGAATTTTGGACGGCAAATAATCACACACAAAGTTGCACAACATTGTTAGTCAAGGGCAATGTAAATGAACAACACAATGTGGTTTCTCTCTGTGTCCATCAGAATAGCACAACAGGAAAAAGAAAAGAAAGGGAGGGAAGAAAAGGAAACGCTGGACAATATCAAGCTCAGGTGAGAGTGCTGAGCATCTGGAACTCTCTTCCATTGTTGTGGGAACAGAAAGATGGTACAGCTACTTGGGAAAAGTGGGTTTCTTTGAAAGGTAAACATTCACTTACCATATGATTCAGCAATCCAGTCCCTAGACATTTACCCTAGAGAAATGAAAACTTATCTCAAGGAAAATCTATATGCAACTATTTATAACAGCTTTATTTATAATCACCCAAAAATGGAAACAACTGAATATCTCTCAACAGGTGAACGGACAAAGCTGCACATCCACACAATGGGATACTACTGAGTAACAAAAGGAACTAACTATCCATACGGGTAAAAACTTGGATGAAGCCAAAGACACTGCACACCCGCTGAGCGAAAGGGGCCAGTCCAGAAAGGTTCGTTGTATGTGACATTTCACGAAAGACAGAACTTTAGAGACAGAGGAGTTTGGGGTGGCAGACGGGTTTGACCCCACAAGGGAAGCCCGAAGGAAGTTTCTGGAGTGATGAAACTGTTTTGTGTCCTGATCGTTTCTTTTTATTAGGAAAAAAGTAAACTTTATGGTATGTATGTAAAAAGGAAAGAGTATAACTTAGAAGTTTCAGAAATGTTGCTAATACTGGCAACTAACAGCTCATCCTATACTTTTTTTTTTTTTTTAAGATTTTATTCATTTATTTTTGACAGAGTGAAAGAGAACACAAGTGGGGGGAGGGACAGAGGGAGAGAAGCAGACTCCTCGCTGAGCAGGGAGCCTGATGAGGGGCTCGATCCCAGGACCCCGGGATCATGACCTGAGCCAAAGGCAGACACTTAACCAACTGAGCCACCCAGGTGTCCCCAGTTTTTATATTTTAAATGGTTAAGTAAGCATTTTATAATATCTTCAATGTGCCTCTTGACCCATAGAGCTTAAGATAGTTACATCTTGCCCTTAAGGCAACATTGGCTGACCACCTGCAGGGAGTCCCTGAGTTCTGAGGGGTTTGGTGTGGACCTTAGTTCAGTTTGGCGGGATAGAAAGTCCCTGGCCTATAATGCTCTTTCCTTGATTATCTTAAATATGTCACTCCACTATCTTCCGGCAAAAAAAAGAGGATACTCTGATTTTATTTCCTTTAAAAGTGACTTGGTCTTTTTGTCTTATGACCAAATCACTTCTCTTTTTCTGTGAAGTTCACCTGTTTTGTTAAATGCCTCAGTGCCAGTCACTCTGGGTTGTGTTTCCAGTGCTTGATGCCCTCTTTCAATGTGGACCTTCAAGTGAAGTCTCTTCTCCAGGAGAGTCTTCTGGAAGTGCACTTTGTGCTCTGGCTCGCTGGTCGAGCTGCCGCGGCTCTGCCAGGGTTGGGTGTGCGCAAGGTCCTGCTGGCCCTGACGTGTGGCGGCTCCATCAGGGACGGGTGTGCACGGGTCGGGTGTGCATGGGGTCAGGTGTGTGTGAGGTCCTGCTTGCCCCACTGTTCTACCACTGCCTTCCCCACATTTTCAATCATGTCTCCGAAGGAAGCATCTGCTGTGACTTCTCCTGTTTGTGCTTCTTCCTTGTCAGGTTCTCTAAAGTGGAAGAATATTTTAAATTCTTTCCTGAGTTCAGTCATCTGACTTCCCAAATATTCATCTTCTGCATGCCTTCCCTTCTCATTGTTCTGATTCTAAACTGTGTTGTTCTTTCATAGCTTCTACCATTTTGTTTCTTTTTGGCTCCTTTTGAAATATTAGACTGTGGTTTCATCTGTTTTCTGGCATGGTCTTCTGATGTGCTAACTGAATTTAATGACACACACCCTTCAGTGTAGGTTAGAAATTACCCCATGAACCAGTTCCAATTTTACTTCAAGAATTAGAAAGTGAACCAGTTGGATCCAATTAATATTAACAAAGATAATGGATCAACCGATGAATGTGCAAACAACTAAATAGAGAGCTACTAAACTGTCTGCTTACATATTGGGGTTCGACTCAGATCTTTATTTATTCTTCCAATACCTACAGTTATTTCTATGCAAGGGTATTAAACTTACCAGTTGACTATTTAAATAACTTATATGAGGGGCACCTGGGTGGCTCAGTTGGTTGAGCGACTGCCTTCGGCTCAGGTCATGATCCTGGAGTCCCAGGATCGAGTCCCGCATCGGGCTCCCTGCTCGGCGGGGAGTCTGCTTCTCCCTCTGACCCTCCTCCCTCTCATGCTCTCTGTCTCTCATTCTCTCTCTCTCAAATAAATGAATAAAAAATCTTAAAAAAAATAAAAAATAAAATTCTTAAAAAAATAAATAACTGATGTGACATTTATTTAAGAAAACTAAATTAAATACATTCTTGTGTAAAACCCACCATTGGTTTGGTATCCTGTGGGTCCACACAAAAATGAAGAAAGACCAAATGTACCAGAAGATTAAGTGGGGAAGTGGATTTAATGGAGGTCAGCAGAAGAATAATTCCAGGTAAGAAGTCAGTGGTAGAAAGGATAAGGATGAATTCTCATCTGGTGCTTTGGTTCCAGGAGGTGCTGATGCTGGTCAACAGGGGCCGGGTCCGTGAGGGAGAGACTGCATGCACCAGCCCCGTCTGGCTGGCCCACGTGCCACCCAACTGACCCTGGAGCACCTGCATCAGGACCTCACCCAGCTCTTCCCTATGCTTGGACCCTGTTCTGCAGAGCCTCCGTGTGCACAGCTAACCCTGGTGTGGATGGGTCTTTGCACAAACACTGCCTTCTGGATCAAGTCTATTCTGCGTATTGAAAACCGCAACATGCCCAGCACCCATGTTCCCATCCTGTTCCCCTCTCTTGTTTCCATAGCGAGGTCCACCTTGCGGCATACTGCAGCATTCCTGATGCCCAGCACCTAGAACAGGACGTGGAGTAAGGAGGCACTCAACAAACATCTGTCGAATGGGTGAACGAAGGCTTCGTCCACAGAAGGAAGTCTTGGCCTCGCTCAGCTCTCTTCCATGGGTCCCAGCAGCCATGGAATAAAGAGAGGTGTCACGAAGCAAGGTGAGTCCGGGCTGGCTGGAACAGGCTGGGACTGCCAGGAAGGGTTCCAGGGCAGACCTTTCCTGGGGCTCCTGTCCACTCATTTCCCCGTCGGGCACTTTCCCCGGCAGGGCACATCGCGCTGCATAGCTGTCCTTGGTGTTCCAAGAAGAGGCTTGTGCCAGCAGATCACAAGCCAATTTCCAAACAACCGAGAAATGGGTGAGAATTCAGGTGTGTCTCTGTGGGACGGGCCAGGCCCCACCCGTGGGCCAGGTGTAGCAGCCTCACGGCGACTTCAAAGTTCCAGGGAGGAAAGGGGCTACAGAGCTGCAAACAGGTGACTCAACCTCATTGTTCTGTGTATCTGAAAAATCAATCGGGTCCAAAGTAAAAATATTTATTTAATGAGCAAAAATGTGTGCCTAATTGGTTTTTAAAAGCATATTGCTTCCTGCTTCTTGAGACTGAAAAGGGACCTTTGAAAAAATCTTTACAGGGATTGAGTTCTGAAACTGGTTTTTGGAGGTTAAATGAGTACAGAAAACGGTGTATAAGCCATGGGAGACGACTCAGCCTTTTCCCTGGGGGTCCTGAGGAAGGTGGACGCCCTTGGAGTGAGGCAGCTCCAACAGGACCCTTGCCGCCCTCCAGGGGTCTCTCCGTGCATTGCAGACTTGTGCCTCTGGGAGGTAGTCTCCATTAGCAGCGAAGAGCTGAGGTCTGGAGGCAGAAATGGGTGTGGGTCTTGGCAAGTTTCACGGCTGCTTTGAGACTCGGTTCATTCACCTGTAAAATGGGTGTGGGAGAGCGGGCTCTTCTGCCCTATGGGATCCTCGTGGCTACTGACCAAGACAACACATACAACCGCCTGACGTGGCCCAGCACCGTGGAATCTGGCCCCTGACAGGGCCTGCTTCTCAGCGATGTGGATGAGGCCCTCTTCTGAGGATGGCACTGCCCCGTCCCAAGGTTGGCCCTGCTGCCCCGTGTCCTGGGATGCCCGTCCGAGTGTGTGGTGTCCCCATCCTGCCCAGGCTCTCCTGACGTGCGAGGGAATGCAGCACCCTGGGGAAGCGTCTTAGCAACTCGCCTGGACAAGAGCTCCGCAGAGCAGTGTCCTCGAAAGTAAAGACAACTGGCCCTCTGGGGAACCTGGGTAAATATTTCATGTCTGTGAACGTCAATTTTCTGCGTAGGAGGGGGCTGATCCAGGTGATTTCTAAGGTCGTTTTGTGTTTCGACTTGCTACTGAGTTTAGAACGTGTGTCTGAGTTTCCTGTGGCCGCTGTGAAGGATCAGCACCCACTGAGTGGCTTAAAACAACACACATCTCTCACGCTCTGGGCCTGAAGTCTGAGGGCAAGTCACTGGCAGGGCTGAGCCCCTCTGAAGGCGCCGGGAGCGTCCTTCCTGCCTCTCCCAGCTGCTGGGGCTCCAGGCGTCCCTCCGACCTCTGCCTCCCTCATCATGTGGGGTCCAGAGAGTGTGGGTGTGGGTCTCTCTGTGTGTCTTCTCTTCTGTCTTTTGTGTGATTGCATTTAGGGCCCCCTGGATAATCCAGGAGAAATTCCTCTCAAGAGCCTTAAATTAATCTCATCATTTGCCATAGAAGGCATTGAGGTTCCAGGGATGTTACATGGATTTTGTCGGGGGCAGGGAGAGAGGAGTACTTCTAGTTCCATCAAAGTTTTCCCCCAAATAGCCCTTTCAGGTGCACACTATGAGGTAAACGGTAAGCTTTTTGAAGGCAAGGGCTTGCACTTCTGTTGTATTTTCTGGACAGTACTTATCACAGTAAGTGTAGGCTTTGTCCTTGATGTTTACCTTTACTATTGATTACTACGCATGAGGAAGGGCAGGAGGCCTGGCTGTTGGAATCTCACTCATTTTGTAGCTGGGAAACCAGTCAATCAAGTTCCAGGTTTCTGTTTGTACTTCACCCTCATCTGCTCCATCATCTACACAAACTGCCCGGATGTGGCCAGGCTGGACCTGCGCTCGACCCGCGCTGGACCCACCGGCGGAGGGAGGGACTGCCCAGCCATCAGGCCCTTCCTCTCTGACTGAGCCTTGGGACTCAGGAGGTCTTCCCACTCCCCACTCCTCTGCTGGCAATGCCCACCTCCACACCCCCTCCGCCCTGCCCTGGGACCCTGTCCCTCCCCCAGGCAGGAAGGGAGCACCAGGCGGCATTCCTGACTGCGCACTTCCGTGCTCCCAGCGGCACAGCCTGCGCCCCACCCGGGTCCTCTGCGGCACCGGGTGGGCATGCACTGGGCGGCAGCAAGTCACTGTGCACCAGGTTTCTCCTTAGCCAGGAGGCTAGAGCCTAGGCTGGACATCTCTGCAATGCCATTTTCCCCCCTCATTGTCCCAAAATAACTTCTGCCAACTCCAGGCATCACAACTGTGTTCAAGGCAAGGAGAAGGGAACATGGCATGTGCCACCCACATTTACTCTTTTTTCCAGAAAAATCAAAACTTTACCTCAAAATGCCACCACAGCCTCATGCTTACTTCTCGGCAGCCGGAGGGGTCCTGCCAAAGCTGTAAGAGGTGAAGAGAGCCTCTCTGTCATCTGTGATGGAAATAGGCAAAATTGAAGAGGCAGGGAACCACTCAAAACCCTGCTGATTATTTTAGAGCTGGGGATATCTGGGGTTCAGAGAGCAGCTTGCCCTGGCCACACAAGCTCGTGGGCCTGCCACGGCACCTGCTGGTTCACAGGCTGGCTGGCTGGCTGCTCAGCAAGGGAGACAGTCCCTGCCCCCAGCCCTACTCAGCAAGAACGCCTGTCTCTCACACCAGTGTTCCTGTTCTCCATGCTGCCCACGCCACAGCGGACGTGATCCACGAGCCACAAAAGGTGGCAGCACCTGACCTTTCTCCTTGTGCTTGCCAAGCTCTGCCGTGTGATGGCTCTGAACCCAACAGGGAACTGCGCCCTGCAGTGGGCAGGGTGATGCAGGGATCTGTGGGGCCAGTGCAGGCTGGGGGGCCGCTCTCTGGAGCAGTTAGGGCCTACTGACCTCGGCTCCTGGGCAAAGGACCAGGATGGGGGAGCTGCTCTGTGTGGCCAACACTCCGCCTGGTCCAAAGGGACCCTGAGCCCCGTGCTCACTAGAGCCTCGGGGCGGGGAGCAGGCTGCAGGTCCCCAGACCTGATGGAGGCAGGGTTACACCTGAGGTCCGTCCCTCACTCGGCCCTGCGTGTCTTCCTGGTGGTTAAGCAGGTGAGTAGGTAGTGGGAGGGGAGGCAGGGGCTGGGCACAGGGGCAGCTCCCACTTGGAAGATGCTGGGGTGCGGCAAGACAAAGGCATGGTGGTTACGGGGTGCAGCGTGCTGGGAGTGGACCTGGCTGTCCCAGATGGGGGGTAAGGCCCCTGACCTCCGGGTGAAGGTCATGGCTCAGAGGCCTCAGGGGTTGGCGGGTCTTCCCTGTGGGGTGACCGCTGCTTTGCCCCCACACTCCTGCCCTGCACGTAGGCCTACTTCCCCAAGGAACTGGAAGTGCCCCTCTTCCTGAGAAATCTTGGTTTTTAGGTGTTGGGAACTGCAGGAAACGGAGGCCCCTATCCTCTCTCCACGGCTGCAGCCTTGACTGGTGCAGGGCTGGCTCAGGGACATGGGGCGCCCACCCCATGGACAGAGATGCTTGGGCTGGGGGATGCTCCCTGGGCTCCGTGGGTGGGGAGTGGAAGCAGGGGTCTCCAGCTGGACACGGACAGGAACGAATCCTGCCCAGACTCGTGGGAGCTGAGCTGCAGCCGAGCGTCAGGACAGAGGTTTGGTTGCTGACCAGTGATGCTGAGCTCGCCGGGCCTCAGGGGTTCTGGTTGGGTTTCCTTCGGCCTTGCATCTTATCTGACACTGAACTAGATAAAGTGTTCACCGACACTCACGCACTCACGGGTGAAATGAAGCCCTGCCCCCACGCTCCCCAGGGTGGGCCCCTTACCCCTTCTGGCTTCCTTTACCTTTCGTACAGACGCTGGTGCCCTGGCCCCAGGGTCTGGAGATTCCCACTGTACTGATAACCCACGAGGGGCGGTCCCCAGGCTGAGTGCCATCGGAGACTCCTGCCACAGGGACCAGGACCCCGCGCCCCCAGGAGACGTCCCCTAGAGCTGCAGATCCCGCCAGCAGAGGCCTGGCACCACCCATTCTGAAATCTCACCCTCCCAGAAATGAGGGGCAGAATCACATGCAGTGAGGGCTTACCAAAGACACGCGGAGTCCACACAGCGGGACTTGCTCCTGGCCTGACCTGCTAGCCTGCCTGGAGAACCCCCACCTCCTCGTCCACACCACCGGCTACACTGCACCGGACGGAGAAGACACAGCACCACCCCACTCTCTGTGTGGACATTTGCCAGGGACGAGGTTAGGATGCTCCCATGAGCTCCCCAAAACCACCCTTGGCAACCACGACTGTTTACCTTAAAGCAGTGCAGACGGGCCTCAGGCCCCATCTCATTTCACACCGAGGGCACCGTCGTGGCTGGTGGGTGTGCCGACGACCCGCAGATGGCAGTGCCACCCCTCTGCTGGAAGCTGCCCAGGGCTCGGGCTCTTGGTTCACCGCTGAGGATGCACCAGCGGTGGCCCTCCACCAGGTGCTTCTCCAGGAGGAAGAGCTGGCGGGAGGTGCGGAGGGCCCTGCCCCACCGGGCTGTGTGCCCCTCCCTCCCTCCGTCCTAACGGGGCCCTAAACAAGCACCTGGAACAACAGGAGCCTGCAGGCCTGCTCTGCAAAGTCTTTGAATGAGATGTGCTTGTGGGGCATCCGCTTCACCGGGGGGGCTCCCCAACCCAGCTGGGGAAGGCTGTGTGTGGGAGGGTGTGTGACTGTGAGCATTTGCACACGTGCGAGCGTGGGGGGAGCTGTCGTGGACTTGGCAGAGACTGGCACGTGGGCTCATCTTCCTTCCACAAGAGCCCCTGCGTGTGGTGGGCCTGGTGCAGAAGCGTGAGTGTGAGTCTGTGCTCTAGTCTGGCTTTGATTTCCAGTCACACTGCACCCAGTTGGTCACGCCATCTGTTTCCTCGCCAGTGAAGTTACGTGGCGCTGGCTCACATCACAGGATGGAGAGGGAATACCCCATAAGAGCTTACAGAACACCCCAGGAGCACACAGTGAGCACCCCTCAGCCACTCCGGTTCCCAGGGCTGGGGTGAGCTCCCCTCTCAGGAAAAATGGGAAAATGCCCTATTTTCCTTTTGAGCACATTGCAGGTCTTCTTAGGTCCCCGCCCCTTCCCCGGCAAGGACCATCATAGTTTAGGAAAAGTCCAGACGTCTAAGGTTACCAGCACCCTATAGGACCCCTCAAGTTGCCCAGCCCACTGGACATGGGCCCATCCTAAGTTTACTCTGTCTCCTTCTCTGGCCTCGTCTCTAGGGATGAATGACCCTGCGGTTGCTGTGAACAGTTTGGGGATTGAGGCTGAGAGGCCTGGAAGCTTCTCTGGAATGTTCTAGAAAGCTGTGGAGGGCTGCATGCAGTGGGGAGCTCGGTGCACAGGGGGCCCTCTACTGCTGTGTCCAGTGCATGGCCACCTGGGTTCCCCCAAAGCTTCTCCATGCAACCCCCTGCCCTAGCCACAAGCACCTCTCCAGGTTTTAAGCTCCCTGGGTGGTTGGGACCACATGAGGAGTTGGATAAAGGCACCCCCAGGGTTGAAAGGCAGTACCCTGGGGTCATCTGGATGGGCAGGTGCTGAGCTGGGACGGGGTGTGTTCCCTCAGTGGGTCTCACATACCCGTCGAAGACCCAGTCCAATGCAGTCAGGTGTGGCAGGACCCAGGAGAGGATGCCATGGAGCTTCAGGCTGTCCTGTCGGGGGTGGGGGGGTGGGGGCCACCTGAGCCAGGGGTTGAGGCCCTGCCCTGATCCCTGCTCCCCTTCACAGCATGCTTCCTGCTCAGTGGTTGCATGGTGGCCGCTCCCGGCTCCAGCACTCCAGCACTCCGGCTCCTCCGAAGCACTTCAAAAGGAACTTAAGATAATACCCCCCAGGGGTGCCTGGGTGGCTCAGTCGTTAAGCGTCTGCCTTCCGCTCAGGTCATGATCCCAGGGTCCTGGGATCGAGTCCCGCATGGGGGTCCCTCCTCGGCGGGAAGCCTGCTCTCCCTCTCCCACTCCCGCTGCTTGTGTTCCTGCTCTCGCTATCTCTGTCTCTGTCAAATAAATAAATAAAATCTTCAAAAAAAAAAAAAAAAGATAATACCCCCCAGATTTATCGCCATGAACAAGTGAAGGCAGGTGGAAGGTTTCCAGAAGATGGGTCAAATAAACCTGGGCTTAATTCATGATCTAATGTGACCATTAACAATGATGTTCAATAAATGATGTTGAAGAATAGTGACATAAAGAGTTCATACAGAGTAAAAACTACATATATATCTGTATATGAGAGTGGTCAGCACAATCTCATTATCGTTAAATATATACAGGCTTGGAAAACACACTTGAGGGAAACATGTTAAAATGTTAACATTGGTCATCTCAGTGTGGTGGAATATTTAGCCTTTGTTCTCCGGTATTTTGCATCTTTTCTGCAATGAATATGCAATACGTTAGGAAGCAGAAAACACGATTTTTGAGGTTTTATTGGTACTTCCATTGCAACGTAAACACTGACTCTGTGTGGCGCTGTCCCACAGGACAAGGGCAGAGCTTCCCCGTCCCCCTCCCCACCCCCCCCCCTCCCCGAAGTGACCACCGGCGCAGGAGGAAGCAGGGGGTGTTTGGAGGGTGGGCTGTGCCTACCAGCTACCTCCCTCTGGTGGGGGCCAACAGAAGCCTTTTGTTTGCCTTTGTTTGCTTCTGAAGCCAGGCTATTTGTTCAGTTTCTAAGTCTCTGGCCTGCACAAACTTCCACTCAGCAGACCTGGTGCGGTGACCAGGCGTGGGGCCTGGGACGTGCCTGAATCCGTAGAAAGGGAAACACAAGCAGGGACAATCTTAAAGCATGTCTGCCAGTCTCGATAAGTGACTCAGCAGCACAAGGGCCCAGGGAGGCCAGGTTTGAAGCTCCACACTGCTTAGCGGACACGGGGTACCCTGCACCCCGTCATGCTGTGTGCACCCCCATATCCCCCCACCTCCTGCCTCTAACCCCCTAAGTATGCCTCCTGTCCCTACACACCCCCTCCATACTTGCTTCCCCTAAACCCCCATACCTCCGCCCCTACACCCCCTATGCTACCACCCAGACAGCGACATGCCAGGTGACTTTGCCAACAGGCTGGTCACATCTGGGGTGAGGGGTAGCAGGGGCGTCCCCAGACACCAGGAGATGGGGGAGACAGGGGGTGACTCCACGGTTCTGGCTGGTTGGGGCACATTCGGACATGGAACAGGGTCTTCCCTGAACCCTGCAGATCTCAAGTGCTCCTCACAACGCTCCATAAAGGTTCTAGAGGGACGGACACGCCACTAACCTCTCGGTCACCGGACGAGCCACGAGCTCGGACCCCAGACGTCACTGGCCGCCTCCGAGTGACCCCGGGTGGGGCAGGGACCCCATGGGCTGCCGGGCTTTCCCGAGGAGGGCACCGTTCCCGCCGAGAGCAGGAGACCGCCTGAGCCCGGCTGGTCCTCGCGGAGGCAGGCGCGGGCTTCGACCCGCCCCGCCCACCGGCCCGGGCCCCGCCCCTTGGCCCCGGGCCCCGCCCCTCGAGGCCCCGCCCCTCGAGGCTCCGCCGCGGCCCCACTACGCAGGCGCAGGCGCAGGTGCGTGTCGTTTGAAAGTATGGCGCCTGCGGGCCCGCGGCTGGTGCTGTGTGAGGAGAAGATCCGGGAGAAGAGCGGCCTGGCGCCTCACCAGGATCTGGGTGCGCGGCGGTGGCGGCGGGTCGGCTGAGGGTGCGAGCTTCCCGCCGCGGCGTCCACAGCCGGGGTCGGACCGGAGGCGCGCTATCCTGACCGCGCTCTTCCCGAACCGTCGAAGGCGGGGGGGAAAGGAAGGGGGGGGACGCGGGGCGGGGTCCGGGGCCCGAGTGGTGGGGGGGCCGCGTGGGGGCAGGGTACCCGAGTGGGGCCGGGGACGCGGGGGACAGGAGGTCTGAGTAGGGCCGGGGTCGCGGGGGGGCGGGCAGGGGGCCCGAGGGGGGCGGGGGCAGGAGGTCTGAGTAGGGCCGGGGTCGCGGGAGGGTGGGCAGGGGGTGAGTGTGGCGGGGGATGCGGGGGACAGGAGGTCTGAGTAGGGCCGGGGTCGCGGGAGGGTGGGCAGGGGGCCCGAGGGGGGCGGGGGCAGGAGGTCTGAGTAGGGCCGGGGTCGCGGGAGGGTGGGCAGGGGGCCCGAGGGGGGCGGGGGCAGGAGGTCTGAGTAGGGCCGGGGTCGCGGGAGGGTGGGCAGGGGGTGAGTGTGGCGGGGGATGCGGGGGACAGGAGGTCTGAGTAGGGCCGGGGTCGCGGGGGGGCGGGCAGGGGGTGAGTGTGGCGGGGGATGCGGGGGACAGGAGGTCTGAGTAGGGCCGGGGTCGCGGGAGGGTGGGCAGGGGGCCCGAGGGGGGCGGGGGCAGGAGGTCTGAGTAGGGCCGGGGTCGCGGGAGGGTGGGCAGGGGGCCCGAGGGGGGCGGGGGCAGGAGGTCTGAGTAGGGCCGGGGTCGCGGGAGGGCGGGCAGGGGGTGAGTGTGGCGGGGGATGCGGGGGACAGGAGATCTGAGTAGGGCCGGGGTCGCGGGAGGGCGGGCAGGGGGTGAGTGTGGCGGGGGATGCGGGGGACAGGAGGTCTGAGTAGGGCCGGGGTCGCGGGAGGGCGGGCAGGGGGCCCGAGGGGGGCGGGGGCAGGAGGTCTGAGTAGGGCCGGGGTCGCGGGAGGGTGGGCAGGGGGCCCGAGGGGGGCGGGGGCAGGAGGTCTGAGTAGGGCCGGGGTCGCGGGAGGGCGGGCAGGGGGTGAGTGTGGCGGGGGATGCGGGGGACAGGAGGTCTGAGTAGGGCCGGGGTCGCGGGAGGGTGGGCAGGGGGCCCGAGGGGGGCGGGGGCAGGAGGTCTGAGTAGGGCCGGGGTCGCGGGAGGGCGGGCAGGGGGTGAGTGTGGCGGGGGATGCGGGGGACAGGAGATCTGAGTAGGGCCGGGGTCGCGGGAGGGCGGGCAGGGGGTGAGTGTGGCGGGGGATGCGGGGGACAGGAGGTCTGAGTAGGGCCGGGGTCGCGGGAGGGCGGGCAGGGGGCCCGAGGGGGGCGGGGGCAGGAGGTCTGAGTAGGGGCGGGGTCGCGGGGGGGGGCGGGCAGGGGGCCTGAGGGGGGCGGGGGATGCGGGGGCAGGAGGTCTGAGTAGGGCCGGGGGCGGGGGGGCGGGCAGGGGGTGAGTGTGGCGGGGGATGCGGGGGACAGGAGGTCTGAGTAGGGCCGGGGTCGCGGGAGGGCGGGCAGGGGGCCCGAGGGGGGCGGGGGCAGGAGGTCTGAGTAGGGCCGGGGTCGCGGGAGGGCGGGCAGGGGGCCCGAGGGGGGCGGGGGCAGGAGGTCTGAGTAGGGCCGGGGTCGCGGGAGGGCGGGCAGGGGGTGAGTGTGGCGGGGGATGCGGGGGACAGGAGATCTGAGTAGGGCCGGGGTCGCGGGGGGGGGCGGGCAGGGGGCCCTAGTGGTGGGGGGACGCGGGGGCGGGGCCCGGAGTGGGGCCGGGGTCGCGAGGGGGGGCGGGGGCTCCTAGTCGTGGTGGGGCGCTGGGGCGGGCCGAGCGGGTCAATGGTTTTCTTTAAACAAAAAAATTTTTTAAAGATTTTTTTATTTATTTGAGAGAGCTTTAGTGGGGGAGAGGCAGAGGGAGAGGGGGTGTGCTCACTGAGCCGTTGGGGGTGTGTGCCCTAATTGCGATCATGACCTGAGCAGAAATCGAGAACCCTGCACTGAACTGGCTTAGCCAGTTTTCTTTTACCTCTAAATAAGGTGGTATAGGTTGGCTTTTTCTTTTTTAAGATTATTTATTTCTTTGACAGAGAGAGACACAGCGAGAGAGGGAACACAAGCAGGGGGAGTGGGAGAGGGAGAAGCAGGCTTCCCGCCGAGCAGGGAGCCCGATGCGGGGCTGGATCCCAGGACCCTGGGACCGTGACCTGAGCCGAAGGCAGGCGCCGAACGACTGAGCCACCCAGCGCCCCTAGGTTGGCTTTTTAAAAAGAATCTTGACCCAGCAGCCTTCGTTCCTGGCAAAGCGGGCCCTCCCCTCCTGTTGCACAGTTGCTCTGGACTCTGCTCTTTCTGTGCTGGGGAATTTGTTCATGGAGGATATTGGTCGCTAGTTTTCTTTTTGTCCTGTTTTTCTCTGGTTTTGGCATCAGGGTAAAGCTGAGTCCCTGAAATAAGTTGGGAAGTGTTTCCTCTTCTGTTTTCTAGAAGAGGTTGTGTGGAATTGGGGCTGATTCTTCCTTGATGGAATTTTCACTGAAACCATATGGGCCTGGAAAGTTCTGTATTTGAAGCTTTTAAATTACAAATTTAGTTTATCTAAGACTATTCTTAGTGTCAATTTCTTCTTGGATGAGTGAGTTATGGTTGGGGTTTGTAAAATGGATTCTTTGCATATAAGTTGTTGAATGTATGTGTACAGAGTTGTTTATAGTACTCCCTTATTAGCCCGTTCATGTCCTGGGGTCCGTCCAGATACCCTTCTTCCATTCTCAGTATTGGTCATTTCTGTCTTTTTTAGACTTGGTAGAGCTTTGTGAACTGTTACTAGTTTTTTCAGTGAGTCACCTTTTGGTTTAATGGGGTTTTCTCCATTGTGTTCTTAGATTCAAATTTTATTGATTCTGTTCTTTAATGTTTTCTTCTTTCTGCTCACTTTGCATTTATTTTACTCTTCTTTTGTAGGTTTTTTTTTTTTTTTTTTTTTTTTTTTTTTTTTTTGAGAGAGAGGGAGAGAGAGAGACACACACACAGAGAGAGGCAGGGAGGGGGACCAGAAAGAATCTTAAGCAGGCTACATGCCCAGTGCAGAGCCTGACTTGGGGCTCGATCCCGCCATCCTGAGATCATGACCTGAGCCGAAACCAAGAGTCTGATGCTCAACGGACTGAGCCACCCAGGTGCTCCTTTTGTAGATTCTTGAGGTGAGAGTTTAGATTATTGATTTGAGACTTTTTAATTTTCTATTATATTTAGTGCCATAAATTTTCCTCTAAGCACAACTTTAGCTGCATTCACAAATTTTTTTATATTTTCATTAAGTTCAATGTCTTTTTAGATTTTTCCTTGAGACTTCCTCTTTGACCTATGGATTACTTGGGAGTGTGTTTTCTCATTGTGTGTTTGGAGATTTTCTTTTTTCTTTTTTTTCTTGTTAACTGATTCTAGTGTGATTCTGTTATGGTCAGAGTCCATACTCTGTATGGTTTTAGTTCTTTTACATTTGTTAAGGTTTGTTTTTGGTTCAAGATCTGGTCTGTATTGGTGAATGTTCCAGGTGCAATTAAAAAGAATGTGTACTCCGTTGTTGCGTGGAGTTTTATGTAAATATCAATTAGATCCTATTGGCTGATAACGATGTTCAATTCTTCTGTGTCCTTGTTGATTTTCTGCCTAGCGATTGTATTAATTACTGGGAGGGGAGTGTTGAAACCCCTAACCCGAATTGTGAATTTGTTTCTCTTCTCACTACTTCATATATTTTGAAGCTGTGCATATATACTTAGGATTTGGAGTGACCCTTGTAACACGTGGTGTTCCTCTTTGTCCCTGGTAATTTTCTTTTTGGGAACATCTCCTAGTGTAGCTACTCCAGCTTTCTTTTGATTCATGTTTTCAGGGCACATCTTTCCCCATCTATTTACTATTTAATCTAAACTTAATCCATATCATTGTATTTAAAATGAGGTTCTTGTAGACAGTGTGTAGTTGGTTCATTTTTATTTACTCTGCCAATCTCAGTTTTTTATAGTGTATTTATACCATTTACATTAAATGTAATTGTTAATATGGGAGAGCTGAAGCATGCCATTGTATTATTTGTTTTCTATTCATTATCTTTTTCTTCTTTTGTTTCCCATTTTTGCCTTCCTGTGGTTTGGGTATTTTCTTGGTGTTCCATTTTGAGTTATCTCTTTTTGAGCATATCTCTTTGTATAGTGTTTTTAGTGTTGCCTCATAAATTACAGTGTATTTATATAATTTAAAACAGTCTACTTGTGTGGACATTTTACCCCTTGAAGCAAAATGTAGAAACCTTATAACCAATGTTTCCTTTGTTTTTTTATCCTTTATAATTTAGTTGTCTTAAATATTTTCTCTGTATACCTTGAGAACCTCATTAATCATTTTTTTTCCTTTACAGTCATCCAAAATTTTAAATAACTCAGGAGGAAACATTTTTACCTACATGTTTACCTGTTCCATTATTCTTTCTTCATTTCTGATGCTCCAGGTTTTCTTCTTTTATCCTTCCTTTATGTTTGAAGGGTTTTCTGTAGCAGTTGCCTTAGGGCAGGTGTGCTGCTGAAACATTCTCTCGGTGTTTCTTCATTTGAAAATACCTTATTTCACCTCAGTCCCTAAGACTGTTTGGTGGACAGAGTTCTGGGTTGAAAGTTCTTTTCTTTCAGCACTTAGGAAATGTGGTGCTCCTCCTTCAGGCCTCCTTGGTTCTGAAGGGTAATCCCCTGCCCTGTGAGTTGTTTTTTCTCCCTGGGTAACGTCTTTTTAAGATTCTTTCACTGTTCTTAGTTTTTAGAAGTTTATTTCTGATATATCTGGGCATGGCATTTCTTTTTTTTTTTTTTGTCTTTATCCTGTTTGGGGTTTTCTCAACTTCTTGAATATGTAGCTGTATGTCTTTTGCCAAATTTGATAAGCTTTCAGCCATTATTTCTTTAATTGTTAAAAGTTTTTCTTCTTAGTCATACTGTCTTTCTCTTCTTGGAACTCTAATTGGAACTGCGTTGGGACCCGTGACAGGAACGTTAGATCTTTTTCCATGGACCCTTGAGGCTCTGCTCTTTTAATTTTTTTAAGTCTGTTTTCTCTCTGCTGCTCAAATAGGACAATTTTGGTCAATATGTTTTTGCATTTACTCTGAATTTTTTCTTCTGTCATCTCCATTCTGTTACTGAGCAGCTTCTGTGGGGGTATTTTTGATTCAGTTATTGCATTTTACATTTCTGAAATTCCTGTTTGTTTCTTCTTTATGTCTTCTGTTTTTTGGCCAAGACGTTCTATTTATCATTTGTTTCAAGAGTGTTGATAATTGTTCATTGAACTATTGCTTTAAAATTCTTGTTAAGTAATTCTGACTTCTGTCATCTCCGTGTTGGTGTCTGTTCATTGTTTATCCTCGTTCAAAGTAAGATTTTTTTTTTCAGTTTTTGGTCATTTTTTGTTGTGTCATAGACAGTTTGGATATCAAGAGGCTATTTCTTATTTAAATCTCATTACACAGTATTGGCACTGAGTGGGTGCTGCCTCATTGCTGAGGTGGTGGCCAGCCTCCTTCACACACACAATCTGTAGATGTCGTGGGCCACCTCCTGGCAGCCCGGCGGGGTAGGAGTCAGGGTCTGCTCACGCAGTCTCAGTGCCGTCCACGGTGCAAGGCAGGTGTATGGGGCATTGTTTTTACTGGGTGTTGAGCTGGTGTGGGGCTGGTGTCGGGAGCATGTGCTGTAAGGCGCCCAGGCCCCAGTCCTTCTACCATGGCCCACAGGCTTACCCTTCTGTGTTAGAGTCCACTGGTGGTTCTGGGTTGCCAGCTTCATTGGCACTCAGATTGGGATGTATGGAAGACAAAATAGGTGGCCCTGAGACCAACGCAGGGCCCTCTCTGCTTGACGGTTTTTTTGAGGTCCCTAGACAGTTGGCCTCCCGTTCCCCACCCTCCAGAGTTGTCTGGTGCTTGTTTCATACCTTGCTTTCCAGGGAGTTAGGCATAATACATGAGTAGGAGTAGGGTAAAATGGGTCTATTCTATCTTGTCTGGAACTGGAGGCCACAAACCAATTTTAAATTTAATTGAGATGTGTTTTAAAACATAAATATTCCTGGGAAAGTACTGGTGTGCCCATACCCAAACTGTTTTTTTGGTTACAGAAACTTAATTTTGTAGCAACGTTTACTTAATGGCCCATTGTTGAGTATGCCACACAGTGGCATGTGGTACATGGAGGATGACTGTGCCCTCGAGTGTAACTGGCATGGGCTAGGCAGGTTAACTAGCCAGTGGGCTTACAGTTGTGATCCCTGAGTGGAGGCTCTGCAGGCGATGGAGTTGAGCAGCCAGGAGTCAAAGTAAGAGCCCAGAGAGGAGGGTATTGCTGGTGGGAGAGGGTTTGAGGGGAGAAGCAGAGGAGGTGGGGAGCAGGGCAAGGGCTCGGAGACATTTTGGAGGTAAACAAACTTGAAACCTTAAATGCAATTCTTCTTTAATGCCACTATTCAAACTTTGAATGAGTTGCATTATTTTTGTGAGTTTTTCAGATTCTGAGGTTGCTACAGCTCATTTTTATTACAATACTTTATTTCCAGTAAAAAATAAGGTTGAAGTCTCATAATTTTCTATTCTTAGCTGAACTTCAGTCATTATCTATTCATGGAACTTACCAAGAAAAGATTACTCACCTGGGAACTTCTTTGATGAATTTAACAGGTCTAAAATCTTTAGACCTCTCACGCAACTCCTTGGTGAGTCTAGAGGTAAGTTTTAAGTTTGTTTCTTAAAAGAAAATTTATTGCTCTCAGTGGCAATGGGAAGTACATTTATAGTAAAAAATGCCATCTGTTTTATACCTATGCTTACATGTAGGCTGTACACTTGACCCTGGTTACAAGTGTTGTATTGTTTTTCTTGCGCATCTCATTACATCTTTAAACTGCTTTGACAACCAAAAGTCCTGTCTCTGATGAAGACGGTTATATCTTTAAGGGAACTGAAATAAGGCCCCGAAGACTAGTGTGTGTCCTGGTCACTGTCCATCCCTGTCTCAGCTGTGTTTTTCTTCATCCACATTCTGTACTTCACATCTGTTTGTAGTCTGAGTCCTGGTGGCCTCAGGCCCTTGAGTAGCAGAGCCACGAGTGCAGGGCTTCCTGCAGCGCTCCTGACGTGGCGGGTGCTTGGTCCTGGTAAGCAAGGAAGAAATCACCCAGGTGATGGCAGCTGGGAAAGTTGTGTAAACGCTGCTCATGACTTCATGGAGAAGAGGTTCCTGCCTCCCTTTATTGAGAGAGCCCCTGGCACGGGCCTGGGAGCCTGCTCAGAGTCCCCTGCAAGTCTCAGTCCAACCTCCACCCAGTGCCGGCTGACCTCTCGGCCTCTGTACAGGGGAGCAGTAACAGCTCTACTGTCGGGTTGTGTGCAGACTGAATGAAATGGTGAGAACTCGGTAGATACGGGCTGTCCTCAGTGATGTTAGGACTGCTGCAAACGTGACATTTCACACCTGCACGGCCATCTGTGTGCGAGACACGGATCCTCCTACCTAGAACACATCTATCCTTGTGCTCTTCCTGTGGCTGTTGCAAGTGCATTTGTGAAGTTGGTGTTGGTTCGTACTGACGGCCCGTTTCACTGTTTGTAGAGGTGTGAACTAATCCTGCCTTTGGTCCTGTTGACAGGGCATTCAGTACCTGACCGCACTGGAAAGTCTCAATCTCTACTACAACAGCATCTCCTCCTTAGCGGAAGTGCTTCGGCTCCACTGCTTGACGGAACTCACGGATGTGGACTTCCGGCTGAACCCTGTGGTGAAGAATGAATCTGATTACCGCCTTTTTGTTGTGCACATGCTCCCGAAGCTCAGGCAGCTGGGTAAGCGCCACAGCTGTGCTCACATCCTTGCTCACAGGAGCACTAGTTGGTGTTTTGTGCTCTCTACTCCTCTGGTTGAATCCCTGTGTCTCATAGGAGGAGACTGCTGGGGAGGAGGGCAGGGAGCTGTGGCCATAGACAACTGCCGAGGAAGGCCACGAGCACAGGTATGGGCCAGGCTGCTCTGTCCCTTTCTGGCCCTCCACTTTCTAGCTGATTGGCTTGGACACCTTGCTGCACGAGTATGTGCTGGCTTACCTCCCCGTGCCCCCTCCCACCTCTGCACTGGTGGACCGTAGGCTCTGGGAAGCCTGGCTGCTCTGCTGGGCCCCACCTGCCTGGGCCTGGGGATAGGGGTGGGCTGTGGGTATCAGTGACCAACCCCCCATTGCTACACTGATTAGTTTCAAGCCTACTTAGAATTTCCGTGTTTAATTTTAGATGTTTAGGAGGGGTAAGGACTGGTGTTCTTACTTGACTGTTTAAGTTATCAACACTTGAATTGGGCTCTTTTTCAGAAGCATTATAGTCCATATGGGAAAATTTTGCCATCTTCAGTCTTAAATCATTACTTTCCCTTTATTATAAAACTTTTAGATTCAGAATCTTATAGTGTGGAGAAGGGACATAAGAAAGAGGAGCAGAGGGAGAGGGAGAAGCAGGCTCCCTACTGAGCGGAGAGCCCAATGCGGGGCTTTATCCCACTACCCCAGGATGATGACCTGAGCCAAAGGCAGACACTTAACCAGCTGAGCCACCCAGGTGCCTCCAAAGCATTGACTTTTGATGTTGAGAACCATCTTAACCCTCAGATATTCTGAGGGAAGACCCAGAAATGAGAACTGATTACAGGCCTTCTGGGGCCCCAGGCACACATGTGGGGACAGTTGAAACTTCAGATCTGAGGGTACAAACCCTAAGCCCAAACACACGGCCACGACATCCTCTCTTTAGCATGTTCAGGGTTCTTATCCACAGAGACATCTCAGATGTGCTCAATGTGGTTCAAGAACCTCATGGGGCGCCCAGAATGTGCATTAAAAGAGGGCAGTGCTGAGAAGGAAGTGCCCGTGTGTGAATTGCATGTGTATTTCTTTTCCCAGGGGCAGCAGGGTGCCCCAAAGTAGCATCTGAAGAGTAGCTTTCTGTGACCCGGCCAGCCCTCTTGCAATCCATACTTGGCATCTCTGGGAAACCCAAGTGTAGCCACCATGGCCCAGCACTCCTTTCCTGGGTCTGCCCTGTGCTTACGGGGGACTCCTGTGGCAGTGCCAGTCCTGGGGGATCTAGAAGGTCCCTGAAAAGTGGTGGCAGTCCTGGTCATGTGCAGTTGGCTGCAGGGTGGGTGATGGGGGCACTTTCATTCCCATGGGGAAGGTGCTATGCTTCAAGGGTGCTAGGAGGTGCCCCTGTGGGGCTTGGTCACTGGGGGCCTGTCACCTGTTTCATGATGGCATTTGCTAATTTCTCTGGCATTTTCTCCCTAGATGACCGTCCTGTGAGAGAGAGCGAGCGGAAAGCATCCCGGCTGCATTTTGCATCAGAGGAATCACTCGCCTCAAAGCAGAGCTTCCCAGCTGTTTTCAGAGTCGGAAGGTATGAGCAGAAGTGGTCTTTGAACATTGAGAGGAGCTGTTCAGACTTGCCTGTTGATAGAAGGTTTACCTAAAAGATACACACTTCTCTGTGTGCTGATGGCCACTTGGAGGGGAGCCGTGCAGAAGAGGAAAAGGGATGCTCAGATGCCAGTGGGGGCTCTCCCCCTGTTGTCCATGTTCTCCATAGTTATTTTTTAATATTAAAATGTTTATTAAAGTAACACATGTAAAATCAAATAGCGTGAGAGGCTTGTGATGAGAAATCACAGCCCCTTATCTCCTCCTCAGCCCAGTCCTCAGAGGCAGCCCCCCTCACTTCTGTAGTTGTCCCTGTCTTCAGGTTCTGTTTGAGTTCCTTCCTCATCTCCAGACAAGACAAACATCACCTTTAGTGGGTGTGAGCACTTTCAGCAGTAGCTGACTGCTGCCACAGGCCCTTCCTCCCCGACCCCAGTAGGACAGTCCATGGAATATGATCCTTCCTGTGTTCTCTGCTCAGTGTCCTGTGGCCGGTGCTGCCTATGTAATTGGGCTGTGGCAGTGGGATCTTTTGCCTGCCTGTATCCCACTTCCATGCTACCTCCCAGCTCTTGTCAGCTGCGTTGTTATATTTGACTGTGCACTGTGAAGGTTGATAGTATTTAAATGTGTTCTGAAACCATAAAGTGTATTCAAGGTTTGCAGGTTGATTTTAAACGGCAATGTTTACATTGCTTGTACTGTGCTAGGACTCTATATTTTGGTACACCATTTTGTTTTGTCTGAAGCCTTTACTGGTTTTCTTCTTGCATTATATGCCTTAGCTCATCTTTAAATTCCTCTAATGTAGGGGTTGACCAATTCTTTTTTGAAGAGGGCTGGAGAGTGAATATTTTTGGTTCTGTGGACCATATGATCTCTTTCTCAACTTTTGAACTCTGCCTTTGTAGCGTGAAAGCAACCATAGGTGATACTTAAACAAATGACTGTGTTCCGATAAAACTTTATTTACAAAAATAGGCAGTGGGCTAGATTTGACCTTTGGCCATACTTTGCCAGTTTCTGTTCTGATATCTCAGGATCAATTCCAAATCCTTGGGGTCTCCTGTTCCCTCAGATCCCCTTTAGCTCCCCTTCCCTTTACTTCCCCATTTCAGACTAGTTTAATTACTGTGTAGACAGCTATTCCCAGTATCCTGTGCAATGGTCTGGATGTTTGTGGCCCCCCAAATTCATATGTTGAATCCTAACTCCCTAGGTGATGGTGTTAGGAGGTGGGGCCTCTGGGAGGTGATTAAGTCATAAAGGTGGAGCCTCATGAATGGGCTTGGTGGCTCTTAGAAAGACAAACCCCACAGAGTTTCCTAGCCCCTTCCTCCATGTGAGATGAGTCGGGTAGTGTCAGACCTCTGACTTTGTTCTTCTTCAGTATTTTGTTGGCTCTTCTGGGTTTTTTGCCTCTCTATATAAACTATCAGTTTGTTGATATCTGTAAAATACCTTGCTGGGATTTTGACTGGGATTGCAACGAATCTTACAGATCGAGTTGGGAAGAACTGACACCTTGACAATATTGAGTCTTTGTCTCTATGAGCATAGAATATCTGTCCATTTATTTAGTTCTTCTTTGATTTCACTTATCAGAGGTTTATACTTTTCCTCAAACAGATCTTGTACATGTGTTGTTAGATTATACCTAATATGTCATTTTTTGGATGCTAGTGTAAAGGGTACTGTCCTATTTCATTTCAAATGCCATACATTATTGGTATGTAGGAAGAGGTTGACTTTTGTATATTAACCTTGTGTATTTGTTTCCTAGAGCTGATGTAACAAAGTACCACAGACTGGGTGGCTTAAAATAACAGAAATTTGTTGTCTCACAGTTGTTAAGGGTAGAAGTCTGAAATCAAGATGTTGGGGAGTTATTCTTTGTGGAGGCTGTGAGGGAGAATCCATTCCATGACTCTTCTGGTGGTTTGCTGGAGATCTTTGGTGTTCTTGGCTTGCAGATGTATCTCACCAGTGCTCTGTCTTCTCGTGGCTGTCTTCTTTCTCCCCGTGTCTTTTCACAGAATCTCTCTTTTTGCATGCTTGTTTCTGTATCCCAGTTTCCCAGAAAAATAGCAGTCAGGTTGAATTAGGGGCCCAGCCTAATCTCATATTAACTTGATTACCTCTGTGAAGACCCCATTTCCAAATAAGGTCATGTTCTGAGGTACAGGGTGTTGGGACTTCATATCTTTTGGGGGGGACACAATGCGACTCGTAACTCCTTGTATTTTGCAGCCCTATTTTGCAGGAGTTTGGGTTTTTTTTGCCTTGTCTTTGGTTGATTCTTGGGGATTTTCTACATAGATAATCATGTATCTGTGACAAAGGCAACTTTATTTCTTCCTTCCCAGTCTGTATACCTTTTATTTCCTTTTCTTGTCTTATTGAATTAGCTGGGACTTCCAGTATGATGTTTAGAAGAAGGAATGAGAGAGGACACAAGATCAGCCTTGTCCTGATCTTAGCAAGGAAGTGGCTAGTTTCCCACCACTAAGTGGGATGTTAGTTACAGGTTTTCATAGATGTTCTAGTTGAGGAGTTGCCCTCTATTCCTAGTTTGCTGATCATTGTTATCATGAATAGATGTTGGATTTTGTCAAATGCTTTTTCTGTCCATTGATATGAGCATATGAATTTTCTTCTTTAGTCTTTTGATGTGATGATTGTATTGATTGATTTTCAAATGTTGAGTCAGCCTTGCATACCTGGAATAAATCCCACTTGGTTGTGGTTTGTAATTCTTTTTATACATGGTTGGATACAATTTGCTAATATTTTGTTGAGGATTTTTGCATCTGTGTTCATGAGAGCTATTGGTCTGTAGTTTTCTTGCGTGTTAAAATAAGGCTGGCCACATAGAATGAGTTAGGAAGTACTCTCTCTGCTTCTATCTTCTGGAAGAGATTATAGAGAATTGGTATAATTTTTTTCTTTAAATGTTTGCTGGAATTCACCAGTGAACCTATCTGGACTTGGTATTTTAGAGGGTTATTAATTACTGTTTCAGTGTCTTTAATGTATATAAGTCTGTTCAGATTATCCATATCTCCTTGTGTGAATTTTGATAGAATGTGTGTTTCCAGGAACGGGTCTGTTTCATTAGATTATCAAATTTGTGGGCATAGTGTTATTCATAGTATTTCTTTATTATCCTTTTAATGTTCATGGATCTGTCATCACAATCCCTCTTTCACTTCTGATACTAGTAATATGTGTCTTTCTTTTCTTAATTAACCTGGCATAGAGGTTTTTCCATTTTATTTTTAAAGAACTAGCTTTTGGTTTTGTTCATTTTTCTCTGTTGATTTCCTGTTTTCGTTTCATTGATTGCTGCTCCAGTTTTTATTATTTCTTTTCTTCTGCTTACTTTGGATTTAATTTGCTCTTCTTTTTCTAATTTCCTAAGGTGGAAGCTTGGATTATTGATTGTAGATATTACTATTTTCCTAATATACGCATTCAGTGCTATGAATTACATTTTAAGTAGTGATTTCACTGCATCCCACAAATGTTGATAAGGTGGGTTTTCATTTTCATTTAATTCAAAATATTTTTAAATTTCTCTGGAGATTTCTTTGACTCATGCCATGTGTTATCTAGGAATTTGCTCTTTAATCTCCAAGTATTTGGGCTTTTCCAGTTCTCTTTCTGTTATTGATTAGTAGTTTAATTCCACTGTGGTCTGAGAGCAGATATTCTATGAATTCTCCTCTTTTAAGTTTGTTAAGATGTGTTTTATGGCTCACAGTGTGACTTGTAAGCTCAAGAAGAATGTGTAATCTGCTACTGTTGGATGAAGTGATCTACAGATGTCAGTACATCCATTTGATTGATGATGCTCTTGAGTTCAGCGGTTCTTACTGATCTTCTGGCAGCTGGGTCTGTCCATTTCTGGTATAGAGGTGCTGAGTCTCCAGTGCACTCACCTGTTTCTCCTTGTAGTTCTGTCAGTTTTTGCCTCGTGTATCTTGGTGCTCTGCTGTTGAGTGCATACAGGTTAAGGATGTTACTGTCTTCTGGGAGAATTGATCCCCTATCTTTATGTAATGCTTCTCTTGTTCCTGGTAACTTTCCTTGCCTTGAAGTCTGCTCCACCTGAAATTAATGTAGCTGTTCCTGCTTTCTTTTGAACAGTGTCAGCATGATACATACATATTTTTTACTTATTTTTTTTTAAAGATTTTCTTTATTTGAGAGAGAGAGCATGAGTGAGAGAGCACAAGCAGGGGGAGCAGCAGAGGGAGAGGAAGAAGCAAGCAGACTTCCATCTGAGCAGGGAGCCCGATGTGGGGCTTGATCTCAGGACCCCAAGATCATGACCTGAGTGGAAGGCAGCCGCTTAACTGGCTGAGCCACCCAGGTGCCCCTAACCCTTTACTTTTTATCCATTATATGTCTTTATATTTAAAATGGGTTTCTTATAGACAGCATGTAGGTGGATCTTGTTTTTTGATCCATGTTGAATCTCTTTTAATTGGAACGGTTAGCCCACTGATGTTCAAAGTGGTTATTGATAGGGTTGGATTTATATCTACCATGTTCGTTTCTGTTTTCTTTGTTCCTATTCTTGTCTTCTGCTCTGTTTCTTCCTTTTGTGGTTCTAAATGAGCGTGTTACACCATTCCATTTTCTCTCCTTTGTTAGCATATGTTATATTTTTACCTTTTTTAATGGTTGTCCTAGAGTATGAAGCAGACCTTTACAACTAATCCAAGTCCACTTTCTTTTTTTTTTTTTTTTTTAAGATTTTATTTATTTGAGAGAGAGAGAATGAGAGACAGAGAGCATGAGAGGGAGGAGGGTCAGAGGGAGAAGCAGACTCCCTGCTGAGCAGGGAGCCCGATGCGGGACTCGATCCCGGGACCCTGGGATCATGACCTGAACCGAAGGCAGACGCTTAACGACTGAGCCACCCAGGCGCCCCTAAGATTTTATTTTATTTTTATTTTATTTTTTTATTTTTTTTAAGATTTTTATTTATTTGAGAGAGAGAGAATGAGAGACAGAGAGCATGAGAGGGAGGAGGGTCAGAGGGAGAAGCAGACACCCCGCCTAGCAGGGAGCCCGATGCGGGACTCGATCCCGGGACTCCAGGATCACGACCTGAGCTGAAGGCAGTCGCTCAACCGACTGAGTCCCCCAGGCGCCCCCAAGTCCACTTTCAAATACCATTGCACTGTCTCCCGAGTAGTGGCAATACCTCCTACTACAAAACATTCCTAACTCCACCCTCCTGTCCCTGAATTACAGGTGCTTCGTTCATTTCACTGACGCATAAGTTATAATCATGCAGGTAATATGTGGGTACCCATAATCAAATACATTGTTGCTGTCATCTGTTAGGTCAATTAAGAATAAGATAAAATAAAAATTTTTATTTTATTCCTTCTCCAATGCTCTTCCTTTCTATATAGATTTGAGTTTCTGACCTATATCATTGTTCTCTCTAAAGGACTTCTTTTAACATTTCTTACAAGGCAGGTCTACTGGCAACACATTCTAATTTCTGTTTATCTGAGAAAGTCTTTATTTTTCCACTTTTTCTTTTTTTTTTTTTTTAAGATTTTACTTATGTATTTGACAGAGGGAATGAGAGAGCAAGCACAAGCAGGGGGAGCAGCAGAGGGAGAGGGAGAAGCAGACTAACCCCCCACCCCGCCCCTGATCAGGGAGCCTGACTCGGGGCTCGATCCCAGGACCCCAGGATCATGACCTGAGCTGAAGGCAGACACTTAACTGACTGAGCCACCCAGGTGCCCTCTCCACTTTTGAAGGATAATCTTGCAGGATACCAAATTCTAGGGTGGTAGTTTTTTCTCTCAGCAATTTAAATACTTTCCTCTTGTGTTGCTTGCATGGTTTCTGAGGGGGAGTCAGATGTAATTCTTGTATTTGTTCCTCTACACATAAAGTATTTTTTCCCTTTGGCTTATTTCAGCATTTCTTTTCTTTTTCTTTGGTTTTCTCCGGTTTGATTATGAAATTCCTTGATGTAAATTTGGGGTGTTTATTCTGCCGGTGTTCTCTGAGCCTCCTGGATCTGTGATTTGGTGTCTGACGATGAGGAAATTTTCAGACTTTAAATATTTTTTATGTTTCTTTTTCTCTTTCTGATGTTCTCATTAAGCATGTGTTATACTGTGTGGTTGTCCCTCAATTCTTGGGTATTCTGCTGTGGGTTTTTTCAGTCTTTTTCTCTGTTTTTCAGTTTTGGAGGATCATATTGAGCTCTCCTCGGGCTCAGAGATTCTTCCTTCGGCTGTGTCCAGGCTACTGATGAGCCCATCAGAGACTTGCTTCATTTCTCTTACAGTGCATTTGATCCCTGGCATTTCTTTTTAAGTCTTTCTTAGAATTTCCATCTCTCTGCTTAAATTTCCCATGTGTTCTTTTTTTTTTTTTTAAAGATTTTATTTATTTGACAGAGAGAGACAGTGAGAGAGGGAACACAAGCAGGGGGAGTGGGAGAGAGAGAAGCAGGCTTCCCCGCGGAGCAGGGAGCCCGATGCGGGGCTTGATCCCAGGACCCTGGGATCATGACCTGAGCCGAAGGCAGACGCTTAACGACTGAGCCACCCAGGTGCCCCTCCCATGTGTTCTTATATGTTGTTGCTTTTTCATTAGATCTGTTGGCATTATTACTTAGAGTTGTTTTAAATCGTAGTTTGATAATGCCAGCATTTCTGCCATATCTGAGTTCTAATACTTGCTCTTCTTTTTCAAGATTGTTTGGCTATTTGGAGTCCCTTGAGATGCATTTTAGGATGTGTTTTTCTATTTCTGCAAAAGATGTCATTGAGATTTTGATAGGTATTGCACTGATTCTGTAGGTTGCTTTAGGGAGTACTGACATTTTGACAGTGTTAAGTCTTCCAGTCCATGAAGATGGGATGTGTTTCTATTTATTTATTTCTGTTTATTTAGTTTACTTGTCCTTAACAGTCTCAAGACTGAACTGTCACAGAGTTTAGAACTCAGAGAGCCCACTCATAACCTGGTGCAGCCTCATGATCCAGAGGTGACTTGGAGACCCATGAGACAGAAACGTGTCAGGTGTCAGGTTTCTGTGGGCAGACCTAGAAAGAGAACCCAAGTCCCCTTCCCTCTGCGGTGAGTTGGAAAACTGTTAGAAGTAGAAAATGATGAATAGTATCCATTTCTTAGAGTATGATCAGATATCGTAAAACCAGCACTCATAGTATGTGATTGAGTATTATCTTGAAGAGATTCCAGGGGCGCCTGGGTGGCTCAGTCATCAAGTGTCTGCCTTCGGCTCAGGTCATGATCCCAGGGTCCTGGGATCGAGCCCCGCATCGGGCTCCCTGCTCAGCAGGAAGCCTGCTTCTCCCTCTCCCACTCCCCCTGCTTGTGTTCCCTCTCTCGCTGTCAAATAAATAAATAAAATCTTTAAAAAAAAGAAAGAGATTTTGTAAGCTGCCTGTGTTGGAAATGAACTCCCCTTTGTGTGTGTTCACCTTCCTATGGAGGGTCGCCATTGGTAGGGATGTTGTATCGTAAAACACCTCATATTCAGTCAATATGGAGAGATTTTCACTTAATGTAAAGATAGAAACTTGGAACACCATGTCCTTTAACTTTCTTGACACCCGTCACGTTGTGGATATGCTAGGAAGAGAACTCGCTAGGGGATGTCAGAACAGGAGCTTTCTGGAACTTTCTTTCTTGAATGGACCCTACTGGGGTTTTGGACCCTGTTCGGATGGCATGGTGACATCACATGACCTTCTTTTCATCAGCACTTGTCCTGGGGATGTCCTGCATCGACTTCTTTAGTAAAGGCACTGGGAGCCATTTTCTGCCGTGCACCACCTTCTCCTCCCTGGAGACCGTGTGGCCGTGCCGGCAGGGCCCTCGTCTTCCTTCACGGGGTCTGCGTGAGCTGGTGCGGGATGCTGGCTTAAGCGACAGCACTGAGTTTGCTTTTCCTTGCAGACCATGCCACTCTAGGGCCCTGTGCACTGACCCCTCGGCCAAGAAGTGCTTGGTCATGGATGCAGATGATGAGGCGGTCCTGAACCTCATTGCTGAGTGCGAGTGGGACTTGAGCAACCCTCCTGGGAGCGCAAGTTCCAGCCAGAGGGAGCGAGAGGCCGACCTCCACAGTTCCCAAGGTAGGCTGCTACCTGGCCACAAAGGCCCAGTGGGCCCAGCCTGTGCTGGGGTGCTGGTAATCTCTGGCCTCCTGACACACAGCGCTTTCCAGAAAACTCACCTTTACCTACAGAATCCTCGTGACGTCTCTGTGAAATTGTAAATACTAGTAGTTTGGATTATAGAATTGTGACAGATAGTGTTAGCGTAATTGAGTATATAGTTCTGCATGGTTGTTCAAACTGTGTCCTTCCTCAGATCAACTGCAGTTTTACTTACAGGGGAGATCCAAAAGGTCAGAGTAGACAGGTAAAGTGTCCCTTGGCTGGTGACACTGGTTTCCGTCCGCCACGGGGGGATATTCACTTAGCTTAGGAGACGCTAAGCGCTCAGCCTGCCAGGTTTGAACTTTAGACCGGATGCGGACGTTGGGAAGTCTTTGCAGCGCGTGGATTTCTTCACGGGCTTTGCTCGGGGCCTCTGTGTTCCACCAGGACTTGTGTATGTGCTACAGCTCCATTTCTTCTTCTGTTTTGAGTTTCTGAGACATTTTCCTGAAGACAACAACAGGTTGAGGCATACATTTGGGCTGAAATCCCAGGATTCACCTGCTGGCACGAGGACATCTGCCCTGTGGGTGTCCTTGCCAGCTCAGCGTGGTCAGTCTTTTCAGGTCTGGCTCCTCTGGGAGCGCGGTAGGAGTTGCTCCTGGTTCTCGTGCACACTTCCCTGAGGACCAGTGATGAGACATTTCTGTTCAGGTCTGTTCCCCTCCTATTTTTCTCTCCTTGGTACTGGGTCACAAGAGTTCTTTCTCTGCGGTTTTCTTCATACAAGCCCTTTCTCAGATGTAAGTGCTGCAGACTCTCCCATTCTCTGGCTTGCCTTTTGTGTGCTAACCGTGCTTCGAGGAGCAAAGGCTCTCGATGAAGTCCCAGGTCGTCAGTTCTACTCTTTATATGGTTTGTGCTTTCTGGTGTTTTAACGGATAGATGTGCCACAGTTCTCTTTGTTTACAAGAAATCTTTGCCCCACGCTTGTGAAGAGACTGTCTTCTCATTCGGTAGCTGTGGCACATCTGTCTGTTACTGCAGTTGACTTGAATCTCTCTCTGGATTCCGGATGGTGTTTTGTCGCTTGTCGGGTCTATGCCAGCCCCATGCCGTCCTCCTTCTGCGCAGTCAGTGTGAAGCCGGTGGGGCTGGGCCTGCGCGCAGCGCCGTCTGCAGCCGTGGCTGGTGTGAGTCAGCCTGCACAGTCACCTTTTTCTTACTTAGTCATGTCCTTGATAGCTGTCATTCACTATCAGAAGGTTAAGATGGAATTTCTGATGAAATAAAACTTTCTAAAATATTTTTTAATAAAACAGAATCCAGACATCTGTTGAGTCCTCAGTCAGTGCAGCACCAGTGTGGGGATTCCATAAGGAAGGGCCATGAGAAGAGGAAAGGCAGCTCTCGAGGGTGCGGTCCAGAAAAGAGGCTTCAGAACCAGTACTGTGGGGAGCTGCCCCCACAGTGTGGACAGCACGTGCGCTTTACCCCACACCCAGGTAAGCAGTCTCATGCTTACAGTCCCTTACAATCTCCTATAATCCTTTGTAATTCCCAAATTCTCGGTTTTTACTCACTTCTCTTTGTTGTACGTGATTTTGTCAAGGATACGGGAATTGGTTGATTCGTTTGTGAAGGGTATTAGCTCAGTTTTACCGCTTCGGGGTGGATTTTCCGTGTGTGTGCGCACGTATGCATGCACACACTTGGGCACACACGCGCGTGCGTGCACACCTTTTTAAATGCCAGTATTGGTCACTGCGGCCGAAGAACTTGGTCTGCTGAGGGCTGTGTTCCGCCCTCCCTTACAGATTCCACAGACATTGAGGACTCGGCCCTTTCTCAGAAGTCAAGCTTGTCAGCACAAAGGGTGTTAAATCCATTGCCTGCTCCTGAAAAGTACAGGAAGCGAAGAATGCCTGGCGGGAGATTCCAGGCACCTGCAGACCAGGAGTGTCTGAGACGCCTGGAGAGGCCCAACGTATCCTTGAGCCCCGAGGAGACTCTGAGCAGGGAGAGTGGCTCGGAGGGCAGGAGCGAAAGGACCCTGTCTCGCTCCGAGGCGTCGGAGCCTGAGGAGGAGGGGCCCCACAGCAGGAGTGGCACCGGAGAGGTGAGTGGGAGAGCCGAGCAGGACTGGGTGGTGAGGCAGGGCGCTGCTGAGTGCTGCTGAGCTCCCTCTCCCACCCCTGTGCTCGCCGGCCCCCAGCTGGAGAAGCTTCTACCCGGGTTCCTCCGCAGCACTCGCACCCTTTTGTCTGTCGGAAGTGTGCTCCCGGGCTCCACGCCCCTTCCTGCCACGCTCCGCGCTTTGAGGCAAGAGTGTAGGCACAGGCACAGCCGTGCCATGCTTGTCTCGGAGCTGGAACCCATCACCTTGGCCGGGGAGCCATCAGGGGTCCTGTTGTGAGGGTGTCCTGCACACACATCCTGTGGTTTTCCAAAGGCCTCATCTTGGGTAGGGACTGAGAGTCCTCCCATCCTCTGAGTGACCCAGAGCCACATGGGTGATGACTCTGTTGCCTTTGTCTCTGGCTTTGTTGGAGGTGGAGGCACAGTGGTGGGAATTGGGGCAGAGCTCGGGTGGGCACAGGCAGAGCAGGCTGTGGCAAGGGGCCCCGCCCCATCGCTGGTTTGGCAGACATGAGGCACTGGCCTCCCATGTGGTTGGTTAGGGGAGTGATTTTGCTTCCTGTGGTCGGTCCTGAGTTGCAAACAGGGAGAAAAATTAGGGCAGCTGTCACTTAACTGATCAAGTTCTGGCTACGGGACCAATTGTTACAGGGGTCATGGTTTGACCTCCTGGCTGGTTGCTGTGGGTTGTGGGTCAGAAGGCTGCTTTTATAGAGGGTCTGGTCATTGTCTGTTTGTATGGTCAATCTCTCACTGTCTGGATTGAGGGAAAGAAGAAAAATGAGGATATGTTTGAGATAGGAACGTGCCCGGGCCTTTCCTGTGCCCTGGAGGCCTGGCTTCCCTCACCAAGGATGGACATCGCTGGGTGCAGAGCCTCGCCCGGAGAACTCGTATCCTCGCTGTGGGGCTGGGACTTGGCAGGAGGGGAGGCTGCCTCAGCTTGGGGCTGTGGCCTCATGGTGATCATCCTCTTGCAGTGGGCACTGCCCTTTGCTCCTCAGGGGGGAGGCAGAAGCTGGAGTGAGCACACTGAGGACCCTGGCTCTGTCACCTGTGCCTGAGGACAAGTGTCCAGATACAGCTTCTGATGGAGGTGTTGGTACCAGGTGCTCACTCGGATGCCCTCAGCCTTAGCTTGTTGGGGCGAGCAGCCAGGCCTTAGTGTTTTCATGCTGCCCCACGCACACTGTGACCTTGGGCAGAGTGGTGCTCGCTTGCTGGGCCTGCTCCTGGGGAGCCTGGGGTGGGCGGTGGTGACAGGAGGTGAGGAGCTGTCCCCGCTGAAGTGGCTTCACCTGCCTTGCCTCGTTCCAGGGTCTCTGGCTCTTCAGAAGTTCCTTAGTAGAAAAGTCCTCTGGAGGTTAGCTAACTGCAGAGCACTAGGCGGGGCTCTCCCCCGCCTCCTGCTTGGAGCTGCTTCCTGGGGACCTGGGACTAGCCCATGTCCCAGCTCTGCTGATCGGCCCGGAGACAGGTGTGGGCTTCTGCGCCCTCCCTCGCCAAATCCCGACGCTTGGAAAGTGGGCAGGAGAGCAGAGGCCATCCCCCTTTCTTTGATAGTTTTTTAAAACTGGGAATTTCTGAAAGGAGGGAAAGAGCACGACGCTGATGTGCATGCTGACGTAGCTCTGGTGTGGCGGGCCCTCGGTAGGGCCCCGGGTAGGGCCCTGCTGGTCTGCCTGGCAGCCCTTTGGCCCATGTCGTCCTGGCCCGTCCACCACCTGGTCCAGCGTGTGACTTCATTACGTTCAGGGCTTTCTGGGTACCAGTGACCATTCAGGCCAAGACTGGCTCTGACGGGTCTCCAGCCTCCAGGAGTCCTTGTGGACTGGCTCAGGAGGGCCCAGGATGGGCCACTGTGGGAGGTGCCACAGCCTTAGAGCTGAAACTGTGATGCGAGTTTCATGACTGTCCCACTTGGTGTGACGCCTTCTCGTGCATCCTTCAGCTGTTCCCCCGGGTACAGGGATGTCACCCATGCTTGTGCCACCCCTGAGCCTTGTGGAATCTGGATGGACAAGGGCATCAGCATGATGCGCAGAGGGTGCCACGTAGGCCTGTGTCAGAGGCTCCGCATCAGGCAGTGACTCCCAGTCTCCGTGTCACCGCCTGTCTCCATTGCAGGTAGCTCCCACGCTGTACGCGGCTGTGTCGCCTGTGAGGAAGGCTGAGCTGCAGGTGGCGCTTCTGGAGGCGCTCCTCGACCTGGTGGACCGGTACTGGAGCGGCTGCAAGTCCCTGCACGGCAACGAGGTGTTCTGCGGTGAGTCAGGAAGGATGGCCACTTAGACCCGCACTGGGGCCACCCTCCAGGCAGCATTCCATTTGCACATGCTGTTCTGCTGCTGAGTTCTGTCTGGGTCCTGCACTTCGCTGGCTCCGCCCCATTGGCCGTCACCGTCCCCACTGCACTGCATGGAGCATCCTGGTGGCCTTCCGCAAAGCAGCTGGTGTGAGGTGGGGTGTGAGACATGAGGGGCGTCATGCAGGCCTGTGGCTGTTGGTTTTCCCACCTGCTGGCACTCTGGCGTTATGGAGATGCCTGGTCACCTGGTTTTGGTGGAGATGCTGTTGACAGATGTTTGATTCCTGTTGCTCTGTTTTATGGGAAGGTCTGGAAAGATGGCAGAGCTGCCACGATCTCCTTCACACCCTCTGAACATGTGATCATGTCCAGGGCCCTGGATTTGCTGAGTTTTCACTGGGAATGAGGCCCAGGAGGGTGGTCCCTCCCCAGGGAGGATGTGGCTTTGCTTCTGCCCGAGCCTGGGTGCAGGAGCACACCGTGTATCCTTCCAGGGGTCAGCCTTCAGTGTCCCAGTGGGAGCAGGAGCTCGCTGGTCCTTCCTTCCTGCAGACCGTGGGCTGCCCAGAGCTGAGCTGTTTGCTCAGTGTTGTGGCCCTGCAGCTGTAGCCCCTGGATCCTGATCCCGTAAATCTTAGCCTCCTGCTCCCAGTTGCGGAGCTACCAGACTGTGTTTGGGGTCCAGGCCAAGAGCAGGAGCTGGCAGTGCCGTGGAAGAGAGCGCGGCCGGCCACTAGGTCATCCAGCCAAACTGTCCCGTCATGGCCTTCTCTTCAGAGACACCTTTGCTCTAGAATAAAACGATTTTCCTGTCTGTCCACCTTCTATCCTTGGTTGGATGGATGTACAGAAACCTGAGTGAGGTGATTTCAGTGCTGTGCCTGTCCCTTTGCCAGTCTCCGTGCTGGTCAGTGTTTTTTGAGGCATGTAGTTTGTGTACTCAAAATATATGAACAAATTTTGTTTGTACTTCATCCTTTTAACATAAATGCCGTAATAATATTTGGTTTTGACTCCTAGCTCAGGCAAGACATATTTTGTCCTCTGTGCAAGAATTTACAGCAACTCAGGATAGTTCAACAAGTGTGAGTGAAGAAATTAGCTACCTTACTCTGGAAAATAAATCTCTGCAGAAGCACCTTGCTGAACAGCAGCAGCAGTACCGTGTGAAGATGAGTGAGGCGGTGTCGGAACTCAGCGATGTGCGGAAGGAGATGGTGAGCATGCCTTCGTGTTATTTCTGTTTGTGCACACATGGGATAGGGGCGTGGTTTTGACTTCACAGAGAAGGGGAATGCTGTTGTCTCTTCTGTGAGAGGCTGAGTGGGGGAGAGAGCACAGATGAAGTTCGGCTTGAGGTGGACTTTTTGTGGCCCCAGTGCTCGCTGGCCCAGGCTGCCTAGACCACTGGTGAGAGAGGCTCCAGTCAGCTGGGTGATCCTGGGGTCCCTGCTGCTGTCCTGCCTGCACCAGCCAGCAGAGGCCCATGATGTGCTATTGGCCCGGAGGGACTTCCTCCACCAGGTGGTGCCCAAGGGCAGCCAGAACCAGCACAGCTTGGACCCGGCCCCTGAGCCAAGACTCCTGGCTGGGCAAGGCTGTCCTCCTCCTTCCTAACCTCACGATAAAACCATTACATGTAAATGCCTATGTTAAAAAAACAGAACGATCTCAAACAACTAATTTTACACCTCAGGGAACTAGAAAAAGAAGAGCCAGCCAAATCCAAAGTTAGCAGGAGGTAGGAAGGAAGTTGTAAACATCAGAGCAGACATAAATCAAATAGAGAATTAGAAAAATAATGGGGAAAAAAAAAACCCAAAACTGAGTTGGGTTTTTGAAAAAAATATACAAAATCCACAAACCCTTAGTTAGACTAAGAAAAAAAGAGAAGACTCAAAATCACAAATGAAAGAGGAGACATCGCAGTGGATGCCTCAGAAATGAAAAAGATCATAAGGGAGTGTTACGAATGCTTATAAGTGACCACACTGGACAACCTTGAAGAAATGGGTAAATTCCTAGAAGCATACATCCTGCCAAGACCGTATCAAGAAGAAATAAAGGGCACACTTGGGTGGCTCAGTTGGTTAAGTGTCCAACTCTTGATTTCAGCTCAGGTCATGACCTCAGGGTCATGAGATCAAGCCCCATGTTGGGCTCCATTCTGGGCATGGAGTCTGCTTGGGATTCTCCCTCTCCCTCTGCTCCTTCCCACTGCTCATGTGTGTGCACCCCGCCCCCCCTTTCTCCCTCTCTCTCAGAAATAAAGCCTGAACAGACCAATAACTAATAAGGAAATTGAGCAATAATCAAAAACCTCCCAACAAAGAAAAGCCCAGAACCAGGTGGCTTCATGGCTTAATGCTACTGCACATTCAAGGAAGATTTAGTACTCCTAAACTCTTCCGGAAAATAGACGTAGAGGGAACACTTCCATACCATTTATGAAGCCAGCATCACCCTGATAGCAGAAAAGCAAAAACACCACAAGAAAACTAGAGGCTTATTTCTCTGGTGAACATAATTTAAAAATTCACAATAAAATACTAGGAAATCAAATTTAAGAACACATCCAAAAAAGTATACACTATCACCAAGTGGGATTTCCCCCTGGAATGCAAGGTCGGTTCAACAAATGCTAATTAATACACCACATAAACAGACTGAAAGATCAAACCCACACAATCATCTCAATAGATGGAGAAAAGCATTTGACAAAACTCAACACTCTATCCATCATAAAAAGTCAACAAAATAGGTAAATAGGAAAGTTTCCTCAACACCCTAAAGTTTAGCCACTTAGGACAAGGCCACAGCTGACATGTGATCGGTGGAAGAAAACCAAACCTTGCTTTCTGAGCCAGGAGCCACGAGCAGACACAGACATGCAGTCCTGTGAGGTCTGCTCAGCGCAGCACTGGGAATGGTAGCAAGAGCACGCAGGAAAAGGAGACATCCAGGTCGGGAAGGAAGAAATAAGATCATCTGTTTGCAGAGGACAGCATTGCATGTGTGAAACAATCTTAAAGACTCACAACAACAACAACAACAACAACAAAAATGCATTAGAACTGATAAATTCAGTGAAGTTGCAGGACACAAATCACCATAATAGAAATCAGTTGTGTTTTTTTACACCAACAGTTTATCTGGAGAGGAAACAATCCCATTTATGATAGCATCAGAAAGAATAAAATACTTAGTAATACATTTAACTAAAGAGGTTAAAGATTTGAACACTGAGAACTGTAAGATGTGGGTGAAAGAAATCAGAGATATGAATGGAAGGGTATCCCATGTTCATGGATTGGAAAATTAATGGTGTTCAAAGGCCACACTCCTGAAGGCAGTCTACAGATTCAGTGCAATCCCTGTAAAGATTCCAATGGCATTTTTCACAGAAATTTTAAAAAATTGTAAAATTTGTATAACTATTTTTCTTAAAATTTATATTCTCCTTTTTCTGGTTTCACGAAAGATCCCCAATAGCCAAACCTGTCTTGGAAAAAAAACAAAGTTGGAGGCATCACACTCCCTGATTTCAAATTCTATTATGAAGGAAGCTATAGTAATCAAACAGTATGGTATTGACATAAAAACAGATATATAGATCAATGGAACAGAATAGAGACCCCAGAAATAACCCCACACATAAATGGCCATTGTGTACCAAGAATGCACAATGAGGAAAGGACAGTCTCTTTGATAAAGATGCTGGGAAGACCGGACCCTTAACACCATACATAGAAGTCAACTCAAAATGGATTAAAGATTTTTGAATGTTAAGACTTGAAACTGTAGAACTTCTAGAAAAAAAACAGAAAATCCTCCTTGATAGAGTCTTGGTGATGATTTTTTTAATTTGACACCAAAAGTGCAGGTAACAAAAGCAAAAATGTTTGAACCAAGTGGGACGACATCAAACTAAGAAGTTTCTGCACAGCAGTGGAAGCCGCAACCTAAATGAAAAGGCAGCCTGTGGGTTGGGAGAAAGTGGTTGCCAGGGGCGGGGAGGTGTTGGTAAGGGGGCCATGCCGTGGCTGTGGAGGACGGACTAGGTCCAGGAACCATAGCTGCCCATGCTGTAGTGGGTCTGCGAGTTTGCTGTGAAAGTAGCTTCGTTCTCCTCACCAAGAGAGAACTCTCGCTCTGTGCGAGAAGGGACGTCCATCCGCTTGACTGTGCTGAGGTTCACTGTGTCTGCACGCCATCCGGCGCTCACCTCATCCATAACCGCTTTCCTTTACGGTGTCTGTCGTGCCTTCAGCCAGTGGAAGTTTTGTTTACCTTGCTGATCATCATGGTTGAGTTTTAGTGTGTGGAATCTGTTCAGGGGCTCCTCTTTTAAAAAGTCAGTACTGACTGCTGTGTCCCATGGGCTGGGACATCGCATTCGGCTCGGTCTGAGCAAGCCATGTAAGCCTCGGGGTGCATGTGCGTGTGCTGTCCAGCACGTTACCCCGGAGTGCAGCCCCTTCACCAGCAGCACGTATACCCACAGCTTGTGTGGGTCGGGAGTCCCAGTGCAGCTGAGCTGTGCATCTGACTCAGGGTCTTGCTGTCATGTTGCCGAGGGGGCCCTGGTCCCCTTTGGAGGCTTGATGGAGGTGGGCATCCCCTCGCACGCAGGCAGGCTTGGCTCTGCGCATGTGGGCCTCTCTTTAGGCTGCCAGCTGCTGGTCAGAGCCAGAGAGTGCCCGAGTAGAAGGCCGTCCTTCGTTCCCTGCTCTTGAGAGGGACGTGTCATTGCTTGTGCATGGTATGTTAGGATCCAGTCAGCAGGCCCACCCACGTGAGGGGAGGACACCACGTGACGGCAGGAGCACCCTTGGGCCATCTCGGGAGCTGCCTGCCCCAGCCTCTCTATCGGCCGTGTTATTTGTAAGGTGGGAATGCGAGTAGCCACAGGATTGCTGCAAGACGGATCTCTGGACCATCTGAGATCGTATTTTATGAGAACCTGCCATCTCAGAGATGCCCTGCAAAGCTTTGCTTTTACAGAAAAAGATGAAAAATAAAAATAATGAAATGATATTGGCAGCCTCTTCTGGTCTTGAGATACACCATAGACATGCATGCACACAAGTGGTGGGTACATCCGGAAAGAGTTGGAGCCCCGTGAGCCTGCACCATAATCACTGTGCAGAACGTCATTTTTGTGGGACAGTGTTGACCCCATGGGACACAGCATGGCCTGTTAACCATGAAAACAGAGGACCACGGCTTTGGGGTTTGGTGCAGATGTGTGGGTTACCCCCCGTTTCCCTACGCTGCTGAGTTTGGGACCAGTGGAATCCAGGCAGACAGGCCCCAGGTGTCTCTGAGTGATGCAGTCTGACATGGAAGGCGTGCGCAGAGGTGTCGCTCCTTCGCCTCTGACGACGGGCTGACTGACCCTGTCCTACAGGCCCTGCCTGGATGAGTGATCCAGAACCCTTGGGCTGCCCCAGAGCCCTGCTCAGTGCCCTTCTGAGATCCACTCCAGTGACGCCGTCAGGAGCTACTTCTCACAGAAGGAGTCCCTTGTTTCTGAAGGGTCCATTGCCGATCCTGCTTTCCTCCCCGTTGTGAAGACGCCGGTTCTACGGTCGTGTCTCCTCAGGTCCTGATGCCCAGGAAACTGGCCTTAGCAGAGGCCCTGCTCCCAAGCCTTTGCAGCGTGGCTCCCAGCAGCGGTGCCGTGCACGTTGGCGCGTGATCGGTCCACTGCTCCTGCTCCAGCCTCCGCTGAGACCTTCATCAGGACCGGGGCCCAGCCCCTGCCCTCTCGGAACTCACCACGTTTTGGGGAGACAGACCGTCAGGCTCAGCTCGCCATGCAGCAGTTTCTGCACTGCCTAGAGTGTGTGTGCACACAGAGGGGTCGGTGCACTGGGTGGGCTGTCAGCAGGGAGAATGAACTAGCAGTTTCCTGAAAGCAAGGGCCCCTGTCACCTTGAGACTGAGATGCTCACTCCCCTAGTGGGGATGCGCCTGCTGGTTTCTATGCAGGCAGGGAGGCCCCCTGCTCTGGGCAGCCGTGGCTTTTTTTTTTTTTTTTTTAAGATTTTATTTATTTATTTGAGAGAGAGAATGAGAGACAGAGAGCACGAGAGGGAGGAGGGTCAGAGGGAGAAGCAGACTCCCCGCTGAGCAGGGAGCCCGATGCGGGACTCGATCCAGGGACTCCAGGATCATGACCTGAGCCGAAGGCAGTCGCTTAACCAACTGAGCCACCCAGGCGCCCCAGCCGTGGCTTTAATGGCCCAGGTGCCACCAGCTTTCACAGTGGTCTCCGTGCCCTTCCCTCCCCTTCAATGTCTCATGGCGTGCTGGGTTTTGCCGCCATCTTGGAGGGTGGAACAGGAGCCTACTTTGTCTGCAGCTCCCGCCTGTGATGGGGATGGCAGGTATAAGCCCATGTGCTTACACACTGAGGACAAGAACAGGATGGGGCTCCTGCAGGGAGGGGCCTGCCTCGGGGAGCACAAAGCCCTGGGATCTGCCTGTGCTTTTGCCCAAGAAGTGAGCCTAGAAGGACCACGTGGGGCTGGCATGCTGCCCGGCTCTTGTTCCTGCTCCTTGAGAAGGGATGGGCAGCCAGGCTGTGGTGACCACGGGGCCTTCCTGTAGGAGGCAGGTCTCCAGCAGCCAGCACATCTCCCTCAACAGGGACGCTGGGCACACAGTGTGACCCCATGTGACCTGTGCCGCCCCTTTGTCTGTCAGGACACTGTGCTACTCAGCCGGGGGCAACTGATTTCTCTTGTTCACGTTGTGATTTCTCGGTTATGATACATAAAGGAGAACTGATGTCTGGTGATCTCGAGAGATTTCGCTTAATTTTGTATATACATTTTACTGAATTTGACTCATCTGTTTTAAGTGTGTTGTTCTGTGTCTGTAGGATGACTTGAGGCAACATTTAGACAAATCTTTGGAGGAGAATAGTAGCTTAAAGGCTCTTTTGTTCAGCATGAAAAAAGAAGCAAAAAATGCAGACACTGCAGCTACGTTAAATGTGCAGATCACTGGTGAGTTATTTGGTGACGTGTGAGTTTTCAAACCCTTGTTTGTAGACTTCATTCTAAGTTACAGGATTCAGAATTCAGGTCCAGTACACACTGTAAAGGGCTGTGACGTCATCGTGGCTCATGAGAGCCGCTCCCGCAGGCTCCCAGCAGAGGTTCCCCAGAGCCTCTGGGGTCGGCCATGCTGGTGGTGGCACGGCGGACGTGGGGCACCCCACCTGCCTCTCGGAGCATGCAGATGGCCACATCTCTGCTGCGTCGGCTCTCCGGAGCAGGGCAGTGCTTTGTCTCTGTTGTCACTGTTTCTTCCAGGTCCGGCTCGCTTTCATCTCCCTCTCTTCACTGTCTTTACTTCTGTTTTGACGTTTTTACCAGGGTGCACTTGGTATCTCAGATTCCAGGGTTTTGAGTGAGGAGCTGGTGGTGGTGTATGTCTTCTGTGAGCTTCGTCTGGGTGTGAACTGCAAGGTCCCTTGGAGGCTTTAACTCCCCTGAGGACTGGCCCGCCGAGTGTCGTGTGGGTCTTACCTCCCAGGGGTCTGAAAACTGTTCATAAAGGGCCTCAGAGCAGGTCTCTCCACGCACTCCCGGTGGGCTTGGCCGCGGGAGCACAGCCACAGAGACCGTCACCCTGGTCGGTCGTCTTTGTGACACGACCTGCTCAGGTCTCTTCCGTTGTGTTTTTTGGGTTGTTTTGTTAAGCACTGAGTTCTTGGTAGTCTTTTCTTTAACTTCCATGTAAAAAACTTTTCCCCTTTTCACCTGCGTCTTGAGATGTCATCATCCTCTTCACTTGCTTTTGGGCTCCTTCTTGCTCAGCCTTCATTTCCCGTGAAGCTTTCCTCTGCTGCGAGCTCGGGCCTGAGTTTGGCCACCTCCTCTCTGACATTCTCAGGTCTGACTCGTTCCTCCATTTCTTGTATCATTTCTTTTTGATCTTTAGCTCATTCTGAAATATTTGGTCCTGGTTTTGATGTCCTGGGTGTGGCTTCTGATGTCCGAGGGCAGCACCTTTGTGTGGGGTCTGCCCTCAGCACTCCTGTGCTGTTCACCTGCACGTGGAATTCGTCCTCCACATTTCCGGGGCGGGTCAGGCAGTGCTCCAAACTTCCCACCCAGGCCCTGTTCACTCCCCCACTTCTCTCTGGTGTCCTGTCCTGCCCGAGCGGGGCCCTCACAAACAGGCCTCTGTAGTACAACCCTCTTCTGGGGGCGGGGGCTGGACAGGTCAGCCTCAAGGGGCCAGGGTTGCTGCAGTCCCTTCAGACCTCCCAGGGGCCCCCTGGTCTGACCTCATGGAGGAGGCTGAGCCTCTCTTGTGTCAGCCGTGGGTCCTTAGTTGCCCAGCAGGGGCTTCCTGTGAAAATGGGGGACACCTAGTGGCTGCCCGGCTGCTGACCACTGCTTCCCTCCCACAGAGGTGGCTACCACGCAGGGCTTGTGGCTCTCTCGTGTCTGGGTCTCGAGGCTTCCACACCCCTAGGGGCTGTAATGTTGTCTGCGGGGCTCTGGTTTTGTCATCTAGTCACTCTTGCTGTTGGACTGGGGGGGTTCTGGGGGATGCCGAAACCATGCCATCACTGCCCTCTTCACAGAATCCCCTTCGCCAGCCCTGCAGTGGCGGCATAGGGGGTACAGATGCTGAGTAGTGTGGCCTCATCGTAGCACTTTTAGGGCCCTCTGCCTCTGCTCTTGGAGCCTGCTGTCCGTGTCCTTGCCGTCCCTCTGCCCGCACCTCCCACTCTGGCTCTCCTGTTGTCTCTCGTATTGTGTAGTTTTATGTGGATTTATTTGGGTCCTGGTTTTGGGTTTCAGAGCCAATAAATGATGTATTTCTTTCCCTGTCGAGTTGGAAACCCAGAGACAGGAGTCGTGTGGATGGAATCCAGACACGCTGTGTCACTGATGGACATGGGACCAGAGGACACAGCAGAGACATGTCTTGTCGCTTGTCCCCAAAGCTGCAGGCCCTCCCCTCAGGCAGAGCCCACTGCCTGGTGGAAGAGAGGCGTTGAACGCCCTTCCCTGCCAGCAGCAGGTCCAGTGAGTGGCAGGAGCCTCCGGCTGGTGCCACACCCACCTCTGTCCCTACTCTGCCCTCCATGTGGAGACTTGTTCCTCAGGTATCTGGAGGGCAGAGGCCCGAGGCTATCTTTGGCTAACACAAATGGACCTTTTCCAAACTATATTGTTTTTCTCGTATCCCTGATCCAGCTTAAACTCTTGAACTGTTGTAGTTTTTAAAACCTGTGGGTGAATTTCACTCAATGATGTTATGGTTTTTCTCTTTCAGGACTTCAAACCAGTGTGAAGAGGCTCTCTGGTGAGATTGTGGAATTAAAGCAGCATCTGGAGCACTATGACAAGATCCAGGAGCTCACCCAGATGCTGCAGGAGAGCCACAGGTGCTTGCTCGGGAGGCGTGGGTGGAGCAGGGCCAGCCCTGGTCACATCATGGGGCACAGAGGGGCCCGGTAGTGTCATGGCAGGTGGGGTTCTGGGCCGCGTGTGTCTCTGCATTGACTTGGAACTTCCCTGAGCTTCCCTTTCTTAAGGAAAAGCAAGTCCCTTCTTGCTGCAGGATTCTGTGAGGTGTGACCTGAGGGTGTGACTGTGAGGTGTGGCCGGGAGAGGTGAGGGGCACATGAGAGATGTCAGTGAGATGGTGAGGGCAGTTTGCAGACGGCCGAGTGGACGAGCACAGCAGCGATTCCTTCCTAAGGTGCTTGTCGCGGTAGAAGTAGCCGACAGCATCACGAGACCAAGACTCTGAATTACACTGTCACTACGTCAGCATCAGTAAGGGGCCCCTTTGCATTTGACCAGGAGCTAGAAACACGCCAGACTGGGGATCGTCTCTGGAGTTAGGACGTAGTTTGCTGGCTTTCCGGACCAGGACGGTTTTCTGACAAACAGCCGTGGCTGGAGTGGCGGGGCGGCTGAGGGCCCGGGTCAGGCCCGGCACTGCCCCGGCGGGAGGCGAGGGCCGGACGGCAGGAGCCCATGGGAGGCAGGAGGGCGCTGGCTGTGGGGACCGGGCCTGGCCAGGTGAGGGAGGACGCTGCTGGACAGGAGGCGGCAGCCTGGACCTGGGAGGGGCTCAGGTGTCGCCCTCCTGTGCTCTCCTCCAGCTCCCTGGTGAGCACCAACGAGCATCTCCTGCAGGAGCTGAGCCAGGTGCGGGCGCAGCACAAGGCCGAGGTGGAGCAGCTAAACTGGAGCTATAAGGAGCTCAAGAAGACGCTGGCCCTGTTCCCGCACAGCAGCGCCAGCCTCGGCGGCTGCTAGTCCCCCCCCCCCACCTGTGCACCCACACCTGGCCTCCAGGTGCCGTGGCTGGAGCATTTGTATTTGTTTTGCCAAGCCTAGTAAAACGTGGGAGTTCTTTTCTACCTAGCGTGTTTGTTGGCAAGAGCTGGGTCTTCTGTCCGTAACTATCCTAAGTGTTTTGCAATGTATTCAGGGCCTGTAGCTTGGTTTTCTAAAACGTCCTAAGAAAGACAGGATTGATCTGTCTCTGAGTGAGTCTGGGAGTAAGGATGTGCATGGTGTGGTATTTGCAGAGAGCGGGCAACCAGGATTATTATTCTTTCGGACTCCGGCATGCTGCTCATGTTTCCTGAAATACAACTGAGATTTTACCCAAAAAAAGGATTAATCTAAGCCCTTCACGTGTTTTGAGACAAGAAACATTGATATATTTTGAGACCAACATTATTAATTTTTCGTAAAATACCTTGAGATAAAGAAAATGCAGTATTTTTTTCCTTGATGTAAAAGAGAATGGTGTCTGATCACTAAGTGATTTTGTGTGACACTCAGTCCTTGTTTAATAAACTAACAGATTGTTTTAAAAAGTGGCTTTTTATAAATTATAACTGAATTTTTCTCATTAAATTCTTTTATAAAACAAGCTATGCACCAAGTGAGCAGGGACAAATATGTTCCTAGACTGAATAACAGTAACACTTAGAGTTTGGGGAAACATTACAAATACTGTTTCACGATACTAACACCCCACACTGAGAGTATCTGTATCCACTCCCCCCCACCCCCCGCTGCTCTCTTGCTTGCAGTGCATTTCTGAAAATTAGAGCATAACAGGGCAAAATATTAGATTTTTAGTTTGGAAGCTTCATATCTTATGCAAATACTTGCTTTCTTTGGTAAAGCAAAGTAATTTTTTAAAACAGTACTTAGTTGATTTAGGAAGAAGAGCGGGCAGGCCTAGAAGTACATGCTCGGTGGTGGCGGCGTGTGCGTCAGGCTCTGCGGCTGGGGGTCAGGGATCCCCGCCTGTCCCTCGGGAGGTGGTTTCCCCAGTCCCCTCCCTGTATGGTCGTCGCTGTGTCCTTCAGCGCTGGTTTCTGTAACTCAGCAGGAAAACATGGCACACCAAATGTGCTTTGTGTGTGGGTGGGGTTTCTTTCATCGTCAGATCATTTTTTTATTTATTTAAAAGATTTTAGCAGTAATCCATTTTAAGCTTATTAGAAAGGATCACCATGCTATTACTTTATGTTTCTCTTGCCTGGGTTTCATTGAGCTTAGACCTGGGAGTTTATCATTTTCTTCAAATATGGAGAAGTTTTGGCCACCATTTCTCCAAAATTGTTACTTGACCCGGCCTCCCTCCCTCCTGGGACTCCAGTGACACTCAGCCAGACCACTTGTGGAGTCCCCACACATCCCCAAACTCGGGTCTTTTCCCCCATCTTTTGTTCGTGGCTTCAGTTTGGGTCGTTCCTACTGCCCTGATCTGCCTCTATGTATAGTGGATTTCTAATTTCAGAGATTACGTATGTTTTTAGTTCTAAAATTCCATTTGGTTCTTTCTTATTAACTTTCTGTGTCCTGTTATATTCACGTCTCATGTAAGTCCTGAGCCATGTTCTTCCTGCCCTCACTGTAGGTGACCTCAGATTGCCCCCGAGGTGGTTACACTGATGCTCCGCGCCGTTAGAAGCGTGTTATGTCTGTTGGTCTGTGTTCTCAGCACCTTCGTGTCCTCGTTCTCGAGGGTGTGTGATCTGTCGTGCTTTTGTACATGGCCTTTACCAGGTGAAAGCAGCTCCTTCTATTGCTAATCTAAGATGTTTTTATCGTGAATGGATGAATTTTATCAGACACTTTTTTCTGCAGCCATTAGGATGACTGGGTGATTTTTCTCCTTTATTCTGCTGGTGTGGTTAACTACTGTAATTTGCAAACGTAAAAAGAACCTTACACGTCTGGGTTAAGCGCAACGTAGTAATGATGAGTTTTCCCTTGCAAACCTACTGTTGGATTTGGTTAATATTTTGTGTAGGATTTTATGTTGTGGGTACACCACTCAGGGTCTAACTTTTCCATTATTTAAAATCTCTGGGTCTCCACTTCCTCATTTGTAGAGCCTGTGCTCAGGGTGTTGTGAGGAGTACAGGGTGATTGCAGTCAGGTCCGAGGACTGGCCTGGCACAGTGAGCACAGTGCGGCTGTGGGCCCTAGCAGCAGTAACTAGTTCTGCCTCCCTGCGGATTTCCCTTTCTGCTGCCGTCGTCCTGCGGGTCTGAGCCACTACACTGTCCCCAGGAGAAGAGTTCGGTTGTGCATCCTTCCCTGCTGTCTAGGAGAATCTAGGACAGGTTGTAATTATCTCTTCCCTGAGTGTTTAGTGGAACTTGCTAAGGAAGTCAGCTGTGCCTGAAATTTTCTTTGTGGGAGATCCTTGACCATTGGTTCGATTTGATTTATGATTAAAGGGTGCAGCAGAGCCTGTTCTCCCAGAGCACCCATCCGCTCCCTCTGTTGGCCAGCGCCCCGCCCCCCAAGCTGGTCTGGGGCCATGTGACTCATCTGAATGGGACAGAGAAGAGCTGCCGGGCCACTGGGGGGGCCTCCCTCCCCTCGGTGGCCTTGCCGGCGGCATCACAAACCAGCAGGTCTGTTTCTCTCTTGTTGGAGGAGATCCCTCCTTGACCCTGGCCAGACTCCATCTGAGTAAGAAAGAAATCTCACTGTGTCCAGCCACCGAGGTTTTGGGGGTTTTCTACTTAGTAGTCGCTCACCTAAGTCATAGGACAGTGCAGGCTTTCCATTTCTTCTTGAGTTTTCATAAGATCTCTATCTCTAGGATTTTGTTCTTATTGCCTAACTTTCAAATTTTTGGTATAACAGTCTTTCCATGGCATTTTAATGGCTTCGGCATTTGGGACTGTGTCCTTGCGGGGCAGTTGTCCATTAGGCAAGACCTTGCCATTCAAGGGAAAGGGATGCAGGCGACAGACGGCTCTGCCTCAGCTCTTGAGCCAGGGACACACCAGGGCGGCCCTAGCCGGGGACAGCACAGGTGGGACACGAGGGCCACTGTAGGGTTCCTGTGGCGCGGGTGAGGCTCGGTGTGCGTCCTGCTCCAGCATCCTCCCCACTTCCTAGAGGCTGCCCTGTCCCCCTGGCCAGTGTCCCTGTTGCTCATTCTCGTGTTCTCCTCACTCCCTTTCCTGCACTGCAGCTTCTGTCCCTTTGCATCTTCAGCTGAAATTGTGGACACATTTGGCTTTAAAACATTGCTTTTTTTCCACCATGCTCACCTCCGTGGATCTGGAAGCCATGCGCTCTTTCTGGTGCATTATCACAGCGTGCGGGTGCCCATCGGGTCAGGACCTCTGCTCTCCCCCAGTGGCGCCCAGGAGCACGTAGCTCCCTGGGCACCCCTTCTGGCTTACATGGGGTGGTCTTCCAGTGTTCCAATGAAATCTTTATTCCACAGAAAGCACTTACTTACACTGTTTATCTGTATTTACTGTTTATTCTTTGTGCCACTTCCCTCCAGACATTCCATCTGTAGTCATGTTCCTTCTGCACTTAGAATTTCTTTTAACGTCTACTGGTGGAAATTCCCGTTATGGTCTTAGAATGCCTTTATCTTCCTTTTTGAGAACTATTTCACTGGCCTAGGGTTTCAGGTCGGAACTCATGGAGGACCTCATTCCTACCTACCTCTGTGGCTGCTGCAGGTGTGCGTAATTACTCTGCGTCCAGCCTCCTGGGCCCGGGCCCCTCCCTGGGGCTGCAGCGGTGCTGGAGTAGACCCCTCCCCGGGCCTGTGTTAAATGGCAGGGCCCCGTGGGTGACTGCACCTTGAGGGCAACAGAGATCCACATTTCAACACCTTTATTTATCACTTTACCAATTTGACACACAATGTTAACAACAGCGAACAAAGGAGGAGAGATATGCAGACAGACATGAGCTGTTTCACTAAAGGTTTGCAAGCCAGGCCTTGACAGCAGCTCTGACAGGTCTGGGGAGGGCCACCCCGATCCCATAGACGTTCCTGGTGAGTGCGGCTCTTCGATGCCTGCAGATGTGCCTTTCTGAGTCAGAACACCCAAGACGCCGACACGACTTTACCAATACGCTGATAAAGTGATACACTCAGAACTCCCTAATGGTAACAAAACAGTGTAAAAATATATTGCATATATATATAAATTTATTTCCCTTTCCTGAAAAAAACTTAGTACAAACTAGTAGTATACGATCCCTTTCAAGTTTCTTTTAAGTTGTGCGGGTTTCCTTTGTTGTTTGGCTTGGTTTGGTTTTTCAAGAGTCTAAAGGGAGAAAGCATCTCAAAGGTCAGGGTGCCCACTGCCCAGCCCCACCTGGGGCCATGCACTCCCACACGCCCGGACAAGGGCCGCACCCTGAACCGCCCAGTTCCACCAAGTGTTCAGTAGTAAATCAGTGGTGGGGAGCTACTCGGGGTCAGTGTTTTAAGGACATTCTAGCCTATTGGTAACTTCACAGTACAGCTGAATTGTCAACCTGGCCTGCACGGGACAGGTGACAACAGGGGGTCGTGTGGCTTGGGCCGCAGGACAGGGCCAGCACACGCCTTCCCCACCAAGGGCCAGACGGTGAAAATGTTGGGCTTCCTCCCCACCACTTGATGGGGTGCAGAAGCAGCCACAGTCGGTGCCTGAGCACAGCGGGGTGGCTGGGGGCTATGAAACCATTCCCAGAAGCCGCCTGGGCTGGGGGCACGAGCCTCTGCCCACTGCCACAGCCCCTGTCCACCGCGCAGTCAGAGGGACGCCCGTGGCCTGTGCTGAGCTCCGACCGTGGGGACGCGGAGACGGAGCAGTACAGACGGGACGTGGTGTCAGCGAGCTGGCTCTGCGTCCCTGTCACCCGGCTTCTTGCACCTGATGCGATTTCCATCTGCCTCAAACTTAGGACTGAGGATATTAGAGGTGTAAAAATACTCCAGTATAAATATATACCTTTTGCTACAACGTTCTAAACTTACGTGATTTGAACTTCATTTTGGTAAAGCTAACTGTGTTACTGACCACTGCCTCGTTGCCTGTCCTATCCTGTTAAATAGAAATAAATAAGTATTCTGCTGTGATCAGCGTTGAACACCCTCCTCCAGTTGCCTCCTGATGCTCAGACGCCGTCAGCCCTGCCCTCCCTGACGGAACGTGTCCTGTCTCCTGCATGCTGTGCAGTTTCGTTTATTCACAGATAGACGTTGGGTTTCTAGTGAACCGTGGTTAGTAGAAGCATAAAAACATGCGGCAACGACACACACCCTGCCTGTGTGTTCTCACTACCCAGACCCTGGCGGAGGAGCATGCGTGTGTGCGCGTCTACGCGTGTGTGCGCAGCGCGGCCCAAGCACGTGTTCTGTGTGCAAGGACGGACTGAGCAGATGATTTCAAGCCGGCAGAATGGCGACCGCTGAAGCCTCGTGACTTTGCTACCTCTCCCTCCTTCCTGATAGAGGGGAGGCTCTGACGGGGCGGATGCCGTCTGAGGAGGCCTCAGGGTCAGGACGGGCAGGGGGACGGGTGGAGACCACAGCGCCTGTGTGGCCAACCAGACCTCTGTGCTGTGGGATGGGGTGGCCACCAAGGGGGGCCAGCTCTGTGCGCTTGGTTCTCACTCAAGCCCAAAGGGAAGGTGCAGTTAGAAGAGTCAGGAACGCATTTGGGAACGTTCGTCAGAAGTGAGCCGTTGGTTTCCTGTCGAGACGCTGGGCTCCGTAGGCCATGGTGCTGGTTTCTTGTGTAAAACGGGGGCTCCCGCTGTGGGGAGGGTGCTGTGGCAGGGTCCCAGGGTGGGGGCAGCTGTGTGGTTTCCCATGTTTTAGACCCCAGTCTCCCAGGGTGTTGTGCCTGGAGACCCCGCTCTGGGACAGGAGACAGACTCCTGGGGGTGAGGGGGGCTGAGAAGGGCCAGGGGGACATTCATTCCGTCTACAGGCAGTGGCATGGGGACCCCCATCCCTTTGCTCACCGCCAGGCCTGCGTACTGTGGGGGCCGAGGTCCTGCTGGATTCCAGCATCCATACTTCGTCATCAGCCGTGACAGTGGGGACCCAGCTGTTAATGGGCAGGAGGAGTAGCCCCGCGCCTCTGGTGGTTGGTGCTCCCCAGCACGGTGCCTCACAGGGTCCGGCGGGGAGGCCTGTTCTGTGACCACTAAGGAAAAACTCTTTGGCTTTGGACACAGAGTTTTCTGGTTTGTGATCTGCTTGTTGTCGAGAAACACACGTTGCGTTCAGAGTCGCCTTCAGACGCATTTCCCACGCTCTCCTCTTGCCTCTGGGTCGTCACAAGGGTCCAGCCTGGGGGAGGGCGGGGGTCCGTGTCCTGCCTGCTTCTCCCTCCCCCAGCACTCAGTCCTCTATTTTCCTGCCTTCGCCGCCTGGGGTGAAGGCCCGGCCAGGCAGCTCAGGATCCCCAAGGTAGAAAGTGGGGACAGCGGTGAGACTGTGTCCTACAAGTGACTCAAAGCCTGCAGTCCATCATTTCCCCCACTTGAATGCACCGGCAAGTCCCAGATCCTCGGAAGCAAACTGCTGGCGAGGCCACCGCCAGCCACGCGGGTGGGTTGTGAGGGGAAGCCCATGAGTGAGGAGCCTGGTGGAGACACTGTCCCTTCACAGGGGCCGTGCTGGATGGGAGCGAGGGTCCCAAATTCCTCTGCATGGGGGGCATCCCCAGCTCCAGCGGTGACCATCGTGCCCTTTGGGTTCAGGAAGGCAGGTGTCTGTGCTGCCACGGTGCTCGTCTTGATTTCAGCCAGCTGCGCTGGACACACGGCGGCGGCCGGGTGGACGGGCTCTAGGAGGCGTCTTCCTGAGGCTGCCGCGGGCTTTTCCCAGGACCAGTGCCAGGACCGCATAGCCCCACCAGTCACTCGCCAGGCTTGGCTGCACTTACGCAAAGGGACATGTCCCCGTGGGGCCCCCGTGACAGGAGCCCCGGGCCTCTGCCCCGTCCAGCCTCACGGAGAAACCAAATGCCGGCAAATGCTACGGGCCTCACGGCCCTCCACTGGCCTGGCTGTTGTGTGGTTTTCTGCACTCACAGGGATTGGCAGAGGTTGGGGAGAACTCACTGTGGAGACTGAACCACCAAGGTTTGCGCCGTGTGCTAGCGAAGAGGGAGCAGCCACGTGGACCCACAGCCCTGAGGCCCCAAGGGCGGGGCAAAGCCCCCGGGGAGAAGACGCCCGGTCCTGCCAGCAAAGCACCTGCATGGGAAGCCTCAGCCAGCAGGGTGTCCTGACCCGGAGACACGGACGGCAGGAGAGAAAGGGGCAGAAACAGGGTATTCTCAATCTTCCCTGACCCATTCTAAGAATAAACACGTTTCTTATTTCTTCTTAGGAAAGCACAGTGAAATGAACTGTCCTGTTTCCATTTTGACACTCTTGGGCTTCGCACTTCAAACCATGTTCCTTTGGTCCACGGAGGAGCCTTTCACTGGCTCACCTTCCTCCCTTGCTCGCCAGCCTCTGGTTCCGCAACATGTGTACGTGTGTGTGTGTGTGTGAGCATGTGTGTGCAAGCATGTGCGTGAGCGTTTGCAAGCGTGTGTGCGTGTGCGCACGTGTCCCGCCTCCCCACACCTGCACGGTGTCCTGTTCAGGGCTCACTTCGTTTTCGTGGTGCTGCTGTTAGTGAGTTAGCGCTCGTTGCCTTCGAGGCTCCTGGGAGGGGTCTGTAGGTCAGGAGGTCGGCACACCTCTGACGGGGTCTGTCCCACTCGCCCCCGTGGCCCACCGGCTCCTGTACAATGGCCCTTTGGCCTGTAAGCCAGGTGGCTAGTGTGGTCTGGTCCCGGGAGACACTTTGGAAAAGGCCATTTGTTGACGGCCAGCACTGGACGAGGCAGGTGTGTTACAAAAGGTCAGTGAGTTCAGGGGCCCCACCTGGGGGTCAGAGAGAAGCGCGCTGGCCCCGGGGCAGGAGGAGGCCTGGGTGTCACCCCCACAGCCACCCGGGCCCCAGAGTCTTGAGTTCTGACCGGGGAGCACAGGAATGTAATGAAGTGTGAGGTGGACAGGCCTTGGCAGGGCTGGCTACTTGCCCCCCTGCACCTTCTGGTCGTAGGTGCCTGCGTGTTTGTAGCCTGGCACGTAGCCCGACTCGTCCACCAGGTCCACACGGCCTGCCTTCCCCTTGCCCCGGCCTGATGGGTCGAAGCGTTCCTTGTGGGAGCCCGTGAACTTGGTCGTGTCCGTGAGCCGAGATACGGTGGGCGACGAGATGGCTTTCTGCAAGGGGAGAGAGCGGGGCGTGCCCGTGTGAACCCCAGGGGCCAAGGCCGTGGGCAGCTGCATCAGCCCGCCCCTGGGGATGAACACCTCTGCCGTCGGACCCCAGACCCCGTGGGCTGTGCTCCCCCAGGGAGTCCCTCCCAGCCATGCTCACCGTAACCCCCGAGATGATGGGGGCCTTGCCCTCGATGAGCCTGTGCACCTCGCGGACAGCCTCCTCGCTGCTCTTGTCTCTGAATCTTTTCTTGGAGAGTTCTTCAAGTGCCTCCTTGAACTGCTCGAATGTGATGGTCCGGCAGGACTTCCCTCTGAGGGAGAGAGCACTCAGGGCCGGCCAGGGCCGCTCCCCTCCACGGGGCACAGCCCTGCCGAGCAGTGCCCCGGGAACCTGCTGACCTCAGGGGACCCCTGCCCCTGCCCAGGGACCCAGTGACATCG